TATTGCCTGTAGTAAGGAGTTCAGTTTTGCAAGTATTTTTATGCACAGCTATTGTAATAAAGTTAATTACAGAAGTATTTTCTAATTTCAACAAGAGTATTATTTCATTATTTTTAATGTTGTGAGCCATTTTGATCATTTATCTCAATCACATAAAAATATGCCTGCCAATGTGGTATAGTCAGTTTCATTATTTACACAAAACGAGTCTTGTATTTTCTGTAATTGCATAAAATTTCATCTGGCATCATGGCTTTGTCACTGCTGCTGTTCTATGTCTGCTGCATCCCACTGGATACATGGTACTATGGCCATTATTCAGTATTGAACAGGAAGTATCTGTTTATTTGATACTTACCAATTACCATTTCATTCAGTTTCTTAACAGTATTTATGTTTAATTTTTTTTGTCATATGACTGAGCAATGCAGAGTGAAGTAAATTTGAATGTGTACATATTATATTGTGATCAGTCATCTAGGCATAACATGGCAGTTTGTCTGCAGTGAATCAGAATGTTTTTACATTCTGTTGTGGCCAAATATTTAGAAGTTTAAGGGGTGATGCAAAAATCTGTCAGAACCATCTCATAATTACACTCTCAGCTGAAGACATTCAGTAAATTATGTTTATTTTTTGTTGTCCCTCTGTTTTTATTCTTTGCATTTGTTCATCTTGTGCTACTCAGTAAATGTTTGATATTTTTCTCTCAGTTTCATCGTGAATCCATTTTTGTTTCTTGTTAAATGGTTTCTTTCCAACAATGTTTCAGAAGTTGTTACACAGTGGACACGCTGGTGGCTGTTGCCATTGCGGCTGTTACATTTGCAACAATGCTTCCCATGAGCCTCTACAGTGGGAAAGTTCTGCTGCAGGTAATACTGTAGTCTGCAGTGGTAATGGTATAAGAAGTGAGGTTTGGTAATAATGAAATGCAGGTCTTAGAATTTCATAAGTTATAAAAGTATAACACATTTTAGTTTCAATTCTATAACTCACTGGGTAGAGCTGTTGCACCAGTGGTGAATTATGAATTACAATTTTCGTGCACAGATTGTAATAAGTGTTTTTATGTATGTAAGGAACAGGATTTGTCCCCGAATGCCTCTCCTGCCATAATGCCAACCTCATCTTCATGTGATGCAGAAATGAGGCTCTGGTGACCAAGGAAGAATAATTATTCTGTGTATAGTGGAGGAAATTTTGTTATTTCATTCTGAAAATCTAATTCATGACAATGTAAACTTTGCATCTGGTGGCAGAAGTTGCCTAGTTTGGTAAATTTGATGAAGCAGCACATGCTGTATAGCTATGATTGGAAGATAATTATGAGTAATGCATTTGGTTTGGTCATGGTTTATTTTGAGATTATTTTCCCAGTATTTACCTGAAGGACTATGAAAACCGTGTTATCCATTCTTTATGCTGAGACTTTGCCCTACCAATAACATAGAAGAAGGGAAGTAGTGATGTGTTAACAAGAACACATGCAATTACTTTGATATGAGTATTGTTACAATAGTAGTTGTTATTACTAGAGCTGTTAACAGAATTAGATGACTACTTTATAACGGTAGTAGTATAATGATTATTGTAGTTAGTCATTACTTTTATTTTGGATGAATGTCACATTGCAGAGGTTATTAAATGTTGGAGCTCTGGTCACTTCCCATTAGGCTTGATCATGAGCCATGTCAATCTACCTTGCAACCTTATTCCCTAAGATCTACTTTCCAAGGATTTTCTAATAAAATTTAGTATAATTTCTTTTCTCTTTGATTAAAACTACATGCCTGGCCCAGTGTAACTTCATTTATTTCACATTACAATACTAGGTGATGCATAAATAATGAAGTTCCTGTATTTCACAGGCAAACAAAATAATTGGTAATATTATAGCTCTATATACCTTAACTTTTATGTGTTTTGGACTGTAGATAGGATAATAACAGTTTTTCAGCTGAATAAGGACCATTTTTAGAATTTCATCATGGAATGCCTTATTGTTTCTTGTTCCTGTTACCATTTTCTAATACTTGATTTTTTAAACATTTTTATCTTATGTAATCCAGAGTCATATTATGGATTGTATTTCTACATTCACTTCTAGATCAGTTTGTTTTATGGTCTGTAAAATAATTTCTGCATCCTCTTGTGTTTATCCATTGTGAATTGGAAAGGCATCAGATAAATATTCATCTTTTAAAAACTGCATTTTTTAGCATTTGTTATAATACTATATGTCCATCAACTATTAGGTCTCGTGACTGGTCTCCTCCATTGAGGGTTTCCTTCCACATGTAGTCTTTCTGCATTGTTTATTAAACTGTGTTTTAATTTTAGACTGACTGTAGTGTTCCCAGCCCTTCACCAGCAACATCTAATGTTTCTAGACCACTCCATCCCATATTGTTGGGCAGCTTGACAGGTGCTTGCGAGAGACGTTGACCATCGATGGTGTATTGGAATTCAGAAATGAACATTTTTGGACATTATCCTTTGGAAAAATGGTGAGTGTTGCACATTTAAATAACAGTGGCTCTAATATGTTATTTTCACTCCAGTGTGGATCATTGTTTTTATTAATTTATTATTTTGTAACTTATTTAATAATACTGAATCAGCTACAAAGGTTGTGTATCATTGAATGATAATTTTAAGTTGGGAAGGATGAAGAGGGAAATTACTGTTCCAGAATTTGATGTTTGTCCTAGGATTTACTTTGACAGAATTCCTTCAGCCATTTTACCTCCATTTACAGCAGACAGTCTTCTACCAAAATTAAACTAGGTACCTGCTGACTTTAATGTACATGTACCTGCTTGGTAATGATGTGATTGAAAATAAGCAGTTATATAAGGAAATTGTTCACAGCAGTGAATAATATTAAGTAATTTGTTTTAGGCAGTGTGTGAAACTTAAAGAAACAAAAAAAAATTTTGTTGCAGGGCCAAGATTCAGTGTTTATTAATAAAACATAAAAATATGCACAGATGTTTATATCTTGAAACCTGTCAGTAATGGAAAGCCTTATTCATCATCATTTTTGAATTGTAGACACTAGAAACTGATCATCAGAGTCTGTTTAAAACTCATTCACATGTCACACTCTGTTACATGTTGTGCACTTTGTTCTAGATGAATCAGTCACACCTATATGGTTTGTAACATCTCTAACAGCATGTTCCTTCATATTAAATGCACTGTCATGCTAGCTTCTCCATGAAAAAATCTTTAATCAAAACACATTGTTAAACATTTTGGTTGCTTTCTTGAGCATGATATGAACCTTCAGGTTCTGTGAAGGACAGTGAAGACTTCCACTTCCCTACAATTCCTTTCCAGTTCATAATTCATTCATCAGTTTATCATATGACACTATATAGTCTGCTACTAAGTTTTGTTAAATAAATTCCAGTTGGTTGACCATTTGTGCTCCAAGGATTTGGTTTATTTCATCCTATAGAAGACAGGTTCATCAACTTTGTTTCATTTTTCTAGGCTGGCTCACTGCAAGTTCGAGTCCGTCGAGATGCAGATGAACAATTGGTATTGGCACATGTGGTGGATCGACTTTCGAATCTGGTGTCTGTTTTAACTGTACAAGTATTTAAGGATGAATGGGCAGTGAGAAAAGGAGGCATCACATCAGCACCTTCTGCACCACTTCTTCCTCTTCTCAACAGCTCCTCGGCTCTTGCTCTACCACAGAGCAGCTCTAGTAATCAAAATGGCAGCTCTTTTCCATACCATAGTATGGCTCCAGTTTCCTATGTACAATCAAGCACATTTCCTGTCAATCATACATTGTCCTTGTCTTCTCAGGAGAATGTTCCACAGATGAGGGAACCACCCCAGTGGAGAAGTTCATTGGTAGAAACTGTAAATGTTTCTGTTCAGCATAAAAATCCATTTCTTTCAGATTTCTCAGTGCCATCAATGCAGCAGCAGGCTTACATGAACAATCTTCTGATCTCTGGAACTAGAACTCTGGATGCAAACAGATTTATGTATCAGCCACGATGAAGTGTGTGTGTGTGTGTGTTTTTTAACAAATGCCAATGATGTGAACTTGACGAATAAGTGCCTAATAAAAGAAAATGATGTGCTGTGTTGATACAATTTTGGTAATGTAGTGTTCTATAGTATTTTTCAGCGGAATTGGCGGCTGAGTCGAGTTCTGCTCTTTGTGAGTGACCAATCACCGAAAAAAAGGTCTGGTGGTAAGCAGGGAGACCTCAGTCTATTCAGAAACCCCGTTTTAGAAGCATAGGCAGCCACACTGCGTTGTTCCCAGTTCTTACGTGTACTTTGAGTAGTGATATAACCATTCACTCGTAACCAATTCTGTATCTTGCACCACTGTATGTTGTTTCCTCACCTTCTCGCCCCTTCACCTCACTCCTTTACTTCCTACCAAGGCACAGTACATGTGATTGGTGCACGCTCCAGCCGCCAATTCGGCTGAAAAGCATAATAGATGGCAAGGAAAGGGAGCTTATGTACATAGTAGACAGCCTTTTGTATGAAAATATCAAATCCAAAACTTCTTGATGATGGTGAAGAGTCAATTGAATAAAAATGTTCTTGGATATTATCCTTTGTATGAAGTAACTGAGAAGTGCATGCAAAATTGTAGTCAGAATATCTCAAGGATGGAAGGGGTGTTAGTGTGTGGATTGCATTTTTCATGTTTGGGGTAGGATCCAGTGGCACAATTTTGTAAATTTTTTAACTGAGTAACTATCAGCTGTCTGTACCATTGAGGTAAGTTAGGTTGTTCATTAGTTAAAGAGCCTATTTTCCTATTACTTTCACTGTATATGTGTTGAACATGAGTCTTATTTCTATGAGGCTTGTTTATATGAAACCAACTTACAATGCTGCTAGTGAATGCGGCAAGTTGAAGGTATGTGTATGAGACACCAGTTATTTGTGAGCTGTGCAATAGAACGCATTTTAAAAACATGGGAACAATGTGACGTGGTTAATGCTTGCATTCATCATGCAGAATCCAGATCTGTTAAGCTCTCATTCACTTCAATGGTGCTGAGAGTTGACCATTGGCACTGTAGAATCCTCTGAGACCTTCAGACTACTATCGGGAGAAAGTGTCCCAACAAGCTCACATGGCACGACATGTCATCATGTTGCATAACAATGTGTTTTAGTATGGGGACAGGCTATGCTCTGGGGATTGAATGTTTTATTTTGTATTGTAGTTGAAAGATTTGAACATTCGTAATAACTAGGAAGATGGTTTCTGTGTTTTTCACGATCATCACCAGCGATGACCATTAAGGTCAGTGCATCATCACTCATCTTCAGTGATCAATGGGTAATGGGATCCTCATTGCGTACATCGTAACTTTGACCAATTGTAGAAAATTAATTAAAAAACCGGCACAAACTTATTCTTTGCCAGTTGAGCTATCGGGGCCGTAACGGCAATAAGCACTGTGTTGAAAATAGGTGGTAGCAGCGGTGTGTTCTTTTAGCGCTATTCACGGTCACAGTCTTTGGTTCGTTGACAGGAGTGGATACGTGGACACGTCGGTTGTTTGACAAAGTGGCGGGGGGCAGGGAAGAAGAAATTGACGTTAAGTTTGCGTAGATCGGTAGTGCTGAGGTTGATAACTTTAGAATATGATTTCTTAAATATTTTAGTCCTAGGAAGGCTTTAGTGATACAGGTGTTCGTCGTTTTCCACGTAATCTACTGATGCCGTAAGCGTAATATAAACGTTATTAGCAATACTGGAAAGTTAAATTAACTCCACTCTCATCAGGATTTGAGGTTTTCACGACGGCGAATATGAAGATCCCTGTCTTCTGGAATGTAGCGCCGTGTAATCTGCTAAAATATTACCGACGTTTCACAGGTACTCGCAGCTTCCATCATCAGGGCGTGATGGAGGAAGCAAGTACCTTAATCGTCGGTTTCCTTTCGCAGGAACTTTATGTAAAACAAATGCTGCTCTAGTTAACTACAGATTTTTATATTTAAGTTGTATAGGTGTACTACTTTGAATCAGATAAGTTAGCTCCATTTACTGCAGCACATCTTATACTTTAGAAACATGATTCATTTGTTGTGGTATTGTTTAAGTAGCAATCATGGACAACATTTTAGATCTTAATGTTTTTGCACAGTCTTTGAAACTCTTGTACTATTGACAAGATATGGCTTTTGAAGTCCACTCAGCATGGACAGGAAGATAATATTAAAATGGATATGGGGAGAATAGGGTTGGAGGTTGTGGATTGCATTAATCTGGATCAGGATAGGGGCTTTTAGCAAGCTTTTGCACACAAGGTAATGAGTCTTCAGGTTGTATAAAAGGCAAGGAAGTTTTTGAATAGAAGGAGTCTGTTCCATGTAGTTACTAACAGTAGATTCTTTTAATTTTTATGGTTATTATCCAGATAGCATACATAGTACAAATGTATGCACGCACACATGCGCGTGCGCACACACATACATGTATCTTATTATACATTCCATGAATCAGAAAGTTAGATTAACAGTATGAGTGGAATAAGCCATAAAAATATGCAACATACTGTGATTGCAGTGTCCTGCCACTTGTGTTGAGTAATTGTACTGTACTGAGGTGATGTGTAGAGATTTAAAATGTTTTCAGTGGCAGTCAACCTTGTTAAGTCTTGGTTCTGGGACTACAGTTTGCTAGTATGCATTTCAGACTTCATGAATGTTTAATCTGCAAGCAGATCCCTATTCTTATCCTTCAGCTGTTCCAATGTTGTTATAGCTTCCTGCATTCATGTATGCCTTTATGTAAACATCTGCTTTTTTGTTCGTACTGTTTGTTTCTATGTCACTGATATTGTGTTACTAAGTATTCATAAAAGAACAACTAGTGTTATATACTAACTTGACATATCTATATGCATTTATTCAGTTGCACACCTTCAGCATCCTGCATTCTTCCTTGTACTAATTGTTAAACCTTGGTTTATTCAAACTTTTGTGCTTTCCCAGGCTGTTGGCAGAGACTCATATTTTGATAGTGGTATACAGAATGTAGTAATTTTCTGGCAGCTACATTGCACATTAATGGATATTTGTTTTTAGGAAGACAAATTTCTGTACACCTTTTAGTGATAAATAACTTGGCCGAGCAGCAGTTTGCCATCTCTAGGCCAGCATGGAATGAATTAATTCCTCGGACACTGGAGTTTTTGATGGTTTGAAGTCATGTTATATGCACACAATTCATAGCACCCATTCAGTGCTGCGTATCAGGAATCAGTATTTTTTTTATTTCAGAATATGAAATTAATTCTTATGTTACTGCTGTTGTCATTATCATTTATTTATTTGAATTAAAAAAAACTCTAGTTTCCTTATGTGTGGCATACACTTTGCATATCTGATCCTTTTTGATTTACTTGTCGAAAATATTAGGTGTAGAGTACATGCTGGGAAGCTTCTCATTACCATGTATGGCATTTGTGGGTTTGGTGTACCTGATGGCTTATCCTTTTTGGCTAGTGTGAATATGAGAAGGTTAAAGATTTGTCCCTGATGAAGGCAGCAGTAACCTCAAAAATAGGATTTCAGGTTTTTACAGTGGTGTGTAAAAATATGGCTGTCTTCTGGGTCATAGTTTCAAGTAAAGAGCTTACTCATCACCTTGATGATGGAGGCAGCAAGGACCTCTGAAATGTTGACAGAGTTCTACCAGACTACGTAATGCTACAACCCAGAAGACGGCCATCTTCAACCTCACAAATGTTGGTAATTTTCTAGCAGACTGCGTGGTACTACAACCCAAAAGACAGCCGTCTTTGTACTCATTGCCATGAGAACTTTGAACCGCACAAAATATTTGTGTTTTCCAGAGCCATATCCTTTCATATGATGGTAAGCTGCCTTCAGAGATGAGGATCGTCCAGTTAAGAAAAAGTCGGTTGTTCAAGCTTGTTGCTGCTGCACTGTGTGTAATTCCTCTGCTCTACATCTTGTTCCTGCAGTCCAATCATGAAAATATCAAGTTCAGTGCCTTTAGTTCCAAGAATGTTAAAACAGTGAGTCTTAATTAATTTAGAATAACTGTTCATGATGAGTTTTCTAATTTTTCAGTAATGTCTGATGTAGCATTGTTATTCGACCCTTAATAGTGCCAGTTTAATGTAGACTGATGGTTAAATGTTCAGCATGAGGTGTCAGTTCTGATTAGATTGATGCCGTGCATCAGATTTTGGATTGCTGCATGCAAATTGTCTCTGATAATAGAGGCAAGGACTATAGCAAACTTGACTAGGGATATACAAGTAAATATCTGTGAGACTAGATTGTATGGTGCCTGTACTTACAGATTTCCCACAATTTTCATCACAGTCTTTATGCATACATTATTGAAGTTGTGGTGACAAAAGTATATTGCTAGGACAAAGTTGGATTAATGTAGAAGATATCAGAAACAATTTACGCTGAATTGTCCTATTACAACAGGAATGTAAAACTCAGTGTCTATAAAGGGCTCTAATGGCTTACCTTCACTAATTCTAACATTAAGCTTGGGATATATATAACACACACACACACACACACTGTTTTCCCACAAGCACACACAAATGTGAATGTAATTACATTTCATCAAGGCTATAGCATAAATTTCGTTCACAATCAGGCAGTTTCTTTCATGTATATTGTACTGCAGAAACCTCAGTTGGTGAATGAGCTTGGGAATTTTGAGCCTCAAAATGTGGCAGAAAGAACCGGGCCTGGAGAAGGTGGTAAGCCTCATATATTACGAGACGACCAACAGAATGATGCATCCCAAATGTTGACAGAATTTGGAATGAACATGGTTTGTTCAGATGAAATCTCTGTGAGTCGTTCAATCCCAGACACAAGGATTCCAGAGTAAGTATTTGCAGTAATTTGCAAGTTAGCATGTGCAGGTGATTTGAGTCCTTTGTGCAGCCACACTTTGTGTAGTGTCATGAAACAGATAGTGTTTGTTTCTACATCGCTCCAAACTTGCTGTTCATACTCATCATGCCATTTTATACCGGGTCTACAATTTATGAGGCTGCGGTCGTGCTTGCATTGCTTGGTCGGCCGGCGCTCTGTTGATGTCGGCCGGAGTCATGCGTGTTCTTCCGGTGGGTGACCGGTGAATCAGTTTCAGTACCGCTAGTAACAGCGAACTACAAATATTTCTTGTCACTGATACATGTTATTACATAAATTGTTCTTACCTTAAATCACAAAAGATGTTCAAAGTGACTTCCTTGTGCTTGCAGGCAACTTCACGTCTCGTTAACATGTTTTGAAATACTCGACGAAGCTCTTCTTGGGAAATTGTCGAAATCAATTGCAGAAGCACTTAAAGAAAATATTTGACAATTGATTTCGGCAATTTCCCAAGAAGAGCTTCGTCAAGTATTTCGAAACATGTTAACGAGACGTGAAGTTGCCTGCAAGCACAAGGAAGTCACTTTGAACATCTTTTGTGATTTAAGGTAAGAACAATTTATGTAATAACATGTATCAGTGACAAGAAATATTTGTAGTTCGCTGTTACTAGCGGTACTGAAACTGATTCACCGGTCACCCACCGGAAGAACACGCATGACTCCGGCCGACATCAACAGAGCGCCGGCCGACCAAGCAATGCAAGCACGACCGCAGCCTCATAAATTGTAGACCCGGTATTTAATGCTAAATATTATTTGCAGTTGATGTGGCATTATAAAGGCTTTGATTATGCCAGTTTTATATAAACTGTGATTCTTGCACATGGTAATTAAGTGAAACTCTAACTAATATATTGGTCATTTATTTGGGCTGTAATATAGTTGTGAGAATTTAACCTCTCTCTACCCAAGCAAGGAAGGAGTTGAAAGTAGTTGTGTAAATACAGGTATCATCTGTATGGTACTTGATTTTTCATAATGTTACATTTGTGTGTGTTATCACACTGCTACAGGTGCAAGCACTGGAACTACCCAGAAGATCTGCCTAAAACAAGTGTTATTATTGTATTCCATAATGAGGGTTGGTCTACACTTCTGCGGACAGTTCACAGCGTGATAAATAGGTCTCCACCACAGTTCCTTAAGGAAGTGCTCTTAGTAGATGACTTCAGTAATAAAGGTGAATATTGCTATGTGCTGTGTTGGGATGACTCTTCTTTAGGGTTATGAAGTAACATAATGATGTGTATGGATGGGATATCTAGTTGTGTTTGAAAAGGTAATCTTCTGTCTGATCTGTTCCCAGTGCACAGTGACCTAAAACAGGGGGATGTTTTATTCCCAATGCCTTTTAATTTTGCTCTAGAACATGTCATCAGGAAGGGCTCAAATTGAATGGTCTGCACCAGGTACTTGGTTATGCCGATGATGATAATTTGCCCAGGGATGGTGTGGGTAACATAACCAAGAATGCACAAACTCTCCTGTGAGCTAGCAAAAAAATAAGCCTAGAAGTAAATTCAGACAAAACTAAATACATGGTCATAATATGGGATCAACATCAGCAACAATGGCAGAACATAATTATAAGTAACACATCATTTGAAAATTTATCAAAATTTTAAGTATCTGGAAACAACAATAATAAATAGAAATGAGGTCTATGACGAAAGTAAGAGCAGAATTCAGTTGGGAAATGCTTGTTTTTATTTAGTTCAAAAACAGTCATCATCTTGTTTGCTATCTAGAGCACAAAAGGTCAGGATGTATAAAACAATTTTGCCCATTTCTTGTGTGGTTGTGAAACATGGTCTCTTACCTTGAAGAAAGAAATTATATTACAAGTGTTTGAAAACGAGGTGCTCAGGAAGACATTTGGACCTAGCAAGAATGAAATAAGTGGGGAATTTGGAATATTTCACAACAAGGAGCTGCGTGAATTGTACATATCACCTAGCATAGTGAGGATAGTGAAATCTAGAAGGCTCCAATGGGCTGTATGTGTAGCATGCATGATGGTGGCAAGAGGTGCATACAGAATTTTGGTAGGGAATCCTGGAAAACAATCACTGGGCAGACCAAGGAGATGGGAGGATAACATCAAAATGGATATTAGAGAGGTGGGCTGTGAGGATGGTAAATGTATGGATTTGGCTCAGGATCATAGCATTATAATTTTGTGTATGTTTATTTTGTCTTATTTGTTGGCTTTCCCTTTTACAGTAACTATGTTACACTATTTTGCAATGCATTACTTAATTTAGAACTGAACATTAAATATATTAGAGTTGCAGATTAATGCCACAGAAATAATTTTATATTTAACGCTTCTTATACTTAACATGCCACTAGTTTGGGATAGTTATGTCTGAGGCTAGCTCAGCCAGGGGCACCAACAAATAGGCTTTTGTCTTCTTCTCTCCCTCCCTCCTCTCTTTTAGCTGAAAACGGTCAGAATCCAACTTATGAGATGCAATTTTATTGTTTTATAATTTAGATAATGAACAAAGTCCAGAAGAAGAATTTATATTATGACACACTGTCTTAAGAAACCTTTTAACTTCAGTAAAGAACACTTTTGGAAAATGTATGTAGATTTAGATTAATAAATGTAAATCTGGGTTCCTTGTGTGCTTTTTGAACTGTACATTTATTTTGCAGAGCATCTGAAAGGAAAACTTGAACAGTACATAATGAGGTTTGATGGTAAAGTAAGACTTGTCCGGAACAAAGAACGTGAAGGTTTAATTCGTACACGTTCATATGGTGCGAAGGAAGCTAGAGGGGATGTTATTCTGTTCCTAGATGCTCACTGTGAAGTGAATGTTAACTGGTTACCTCCACTGTTAGCACCGATATACAGGGACAAGTAAGTGGTAACACTCTTCTATGTGTGAAGTTTTCATTGAAGAAGACAGGTCATACTGCAGGATATGATTTTATTACATGTTTAGCAAAAGTTATGTTTATCAAGTATTTTAGCCACCTAGAAGTGGGTGAAAGAAAACATTTTGTGATATGTTATTGTCCTTGTAACTTCTTCTTGTGCCCAGATTTTAAATCAGCTTTTGTACTTCATTATTTTAGTGTATAGTTCCTATTACGAAAGAATTTTCACTCATGTTTTCCTAGACACTGCCAGGTTTGTCATTTCTTCATGGTATGGCATGAGGTGTGGAGGTGATAATTAGAATACTATGTCAGTTTTGTAGTATTGCTTTGAAATCATGTAATTGGAGTGTTGAAGGAGACAAAGAATTGACTAGCTCTTTAAATTAATCCATGCCAGAAATGTTGTTACCATGAATGTTTGAAGAGTAGTCAGGAGTACTATTTGCAGTCTTGTTTCCAGTACTCAGTTGCAATAGTTTTGTGTTCATATTGGTATTATAATACAGTACTTGAATTTGAAAATGTTTACTAATGTAAATTAAAAAATATTATTTCACATTATAAAAAATAACTTGTTGCATGAATTCTCACTAGCCAGTAACAGTTTTTGAACATTATGGTAGATATTCCTCATTTGTGTGCTCTAGGACCATCATGACGGTGCCTGTCATTGATGGTATCGACTTTAAGACTTTTGAGTATCGACCTGTGTATCAAGGTGGTCATCACTATCGAGGTATTTTTGAGTGGGGGATGCTTTATAAAGAAAATGAGCTCTCTCAGAAAGAAGCAAAGAAGCGGGAGCACAACAGTGAACCTTATAAGTAAGTGGCTTTTCATGTAGTACAAAATAGTTCATTTAAAAATGCCTTGTTATATAGCTTTATGCTCTGTCTTATGTGCAGGCTTTTGAGAAGAAATTTCCTGGGACTAATGATGATGAGGAAAGGGTTGTAAGTGCAAGGTGGTTATAATGGGTCTGACATGTATCTCAGATGTTGGATACAAGGACTATGCAGAATTTTGGTAGGGAAATTAAGTGGGAAATAGGTAGAGACTGAGTTCAGAAGATACTGGTAATGACAAAATAAATAGTGTTGGGGATCAGTCTGTATGAAATGGAAAGATGCAGAAGGAAAAGTTGTTTTGAGGATGTGAACTGGATTCAAGTAGCTCACATACATGTCCAGTTATGAATTTGTGTGTTCTGTTGCTATAGAGTTAGTAGAACAATTCAGAATATGTTAAAGTACAGAACTGAATATTTTGTTGCTATTACAAAATTAGACATTTCTGTTTTTAAAAGGGTTCTTTTACCAATCATTTGAAAGGTGTTGGAGGGCATATTTTGCCATATATTTAATATGCACTAAAGTTTGAAGAAAATAAAATAATAATTTTTAACAAACTGTCTTCACATTTTCTGTTGCAGGTCTCCTACTCATGCAGGTGGTTTATTTGCCATGAACCGTGACTACTTCCTATCACTTGGTGCATATGATCCTGGGCTCCTGGTCTGGGGAGGGGAGAACTTTGAGTTGTCCTTCAAGGTGTGAAACACTTAACAAACATCAGCTTGTACAGTATTGATTTAGGTTTTTTGAACCTAAATATTCAGGGTTTCTTAAACAAGTCACAGATCATATCATAACACATTTCCTGTGGACAGGGCCTTATACTACGTTAAAACATGAATTATCATGAGAAAATGTACTGGACAATGCCCATTATCTGAGATGGCCAAACTGTTTGCTTAGTAGAAAACACGCAGGATAGTGATCAAAGGGTTTGGAATTTGTTCATCATTGCTGTCTCTGATTTAAAAATAAATATTTTAGTTAATTAGTTGGTCAGTTGAGGACGACAATAGAGCAACCTTCCAAAACATATCAAAGGTATAGACACTGTGTGACATAATAAATTCTTCTCAGGGTACCAGCCTTGTTAGGTGGCTTAATGAAGCCACCTTACACAGCTGGTAGCCTTAGAAGAATTTATCATACTTTGTTTGCTGTGTAAACGTCAGATCATAGACAGCATTATCTTGCAAACGCTTGTAAGTCAGTAATAGTATTTCTGGATTTATGGTGATTAAGACTGGTATGTCCATGTAACTGTGAAAGAGATGCTTATTTCAGAAATATTTTGCATGTATCAACTTAGGAAGTTCTTTAACCAAAACTACTTTTTGAAAATTTTACAGTATTTGTTATTCTCCCATCAGCTAAACATGGAGTCTACTTTTATGAGCAAATGCCTCTTTTGCTTATGAAGCAAAAAACTCATCTCTTCTTCTTCTCTCTTATTGAACTGATGACTAAGATTCTTCAAGATTCTCAGACTTCTTAATGTATTTCAGTTTTCTGTAATTGTTTCATTAATGTTTTTGTTACTGTCTTGTACAGTGGCCATATTAATGAAAGTGAATGGTCTTAATGAACTAACAAGATTGGAGGACAACTGAAACATGTCTGGTATGCTGTTGCACCCATTTTTGTTTTTTCTGATATACTTTGTATTCTTTATGTGGACCTGTTGCTGTTAGTAAGAGGTTTTTTAAAGCATTTTAACTTGCATATTTGTTCTGAGAATTTGATTCAAAATGTTTTTAATTTATATTTCTGTTTGGTAGATTTGGCAGTGTGGTGGCAGCATTGAATGGGTTCCCTGTTCGCGTGTTGGACATGTTTATCGTAGTTTCATGCCATACAATTTTGGCAAACTTGCTCAGAAGAAGAAAGGACCTCTTGTGACTATAGTAAGACTATGGAATATTTTGTATATAGGCCTCTGTATGTTAGTATGTGAACATTGTCCATAATATATGTACAGTATGCTTCTGAAATTGGTACATATTTGCAATTACTGATACATTCTTGAATGTCCCAAGTACAAACACCATCGTGGAGAAGATTTGATGTTCTTTTAAAACAAGTCTATTGGAAGTATTTAATAATTTAAACTTTTGTTATATATATACCTGAAGAATGGAATGTAATGAAATACACTGAATGTTTTCAGCAAGGTAGTAGTAAACGTTTTTGTTCATTAATTGCAGAACTACAAAAGAGTTGTAGAAACGTGGTTTGATGACAAATTCAAGGAGTACTTCTACACACGAGAACCTCTTGCTAGGTACCTGGACATGGGGGACATCAGTGACCAGCTGGCTTTGAAAGAGAGGCTCAAGTGCAAGAGTTTTGAGTGGTTTATGGATAATGTTGCATACGATGTGTATGACAAGTTTCCGGCATTGCCACCCAACCTGCACTGGGGCGAGGTGAGTTACAGTATTCCTAAAGGTGCAGCAGACTTTAATAACTTTACAAATCATAGGGATAATTTTGTAGTAATTGTCAGCAGTCTAAATATCTTTCCTTATATTTTTTATGATTAGAGTACTTTTTATTTTAATTTTTTTCATTATTTTCTTATACAAAATGTAAATTTGCCATTTATTTTTCGGTGCTTGACTATTGACTTTTCCATAGTGTAATTTAAGGACATTTTAGAAAACTATGAACTTTATCTTCAGCCTTCATGCCTGATCTGAATGTAAATGCATGTAAACTGCTGTGAAATTTTCCCACATGCACTTTTCATTAAAATATTTTATTTGTTTCATAGTATTCATATTCTTTCACAATTCAGTCCAACCTCAACTTAGTTTGTGTGGTACAAATTGCAGTTACCGTACTCATCTGCTTTAAATAAATATTTTGTAAGTTTCTTCCTTCAGTGCTTTTATTACATTTTTGTGACATTTTTCAAACTATTGGTAGATCTGCAGATTTCAATATGTATTCCATACTGATAAATGTACTGTTCTGTTTGTAATGTTTCACCTATTTATTTCCCCTATTTCATAAATGCCTACCTCATTCACCTTGCTTGTAATTTAATTATTAAAAAATTAAATTTGGAGTGCTGTTCTGCCCCTATTTTGGGACATAATATAAGTGTGGGCTGGCTTGCTTCATTACTTTCACTTTTTATTATTGTAAGTTTGAAGTCTACCACATTACTAGGTCATCTTCAGGGCAGAGGAACCATGTTCTTCAACATTGCAAAATTTGTGGCCAATTGTTTAATAAAGTGTAGGATAGTTTTATTATAAACTCAGCGTTCAGTGCTGTAGAAGCCCGTGATTTTTCAAAATCACATGTTTGTGACACAATGCCTTCCCTTTTTTCACTACCCCATTACCCCTCAGCCTTTATTACCTTGCAGAACAGTTTTCATGTGCACATTCTGACTGTTCAATCCAAATCCAAATTTTTGATTTAGTTAATAAATTAGCAGCAGATGTCCAATTAGTGTATATGATAGTCTGTTTTGATGTGGGCCCAGCCTGTGAAACTTGGTCAAGGAACATGTTGCACACAGAGGTACAGGGCATTATGTTGGCTTGTGGGACTTACAATTTGTGTGATTCAGAAGTGCATGGTGAATTTGACATGTCCATGCAACAGTCTGTTGAGCTAAACTGCACAGGAACTTTAAGGTCCAGAAGCTGTGGAGTATTTTAGGCTATAACTCTTTAATGCAACACAGGTTCAAAACATGAAAGTTGCAATATAGTTCTTGTATAAAACTATGAAAACAACAAGACATGATAAACAGCTGCTTTAATTAAGTGTTAAAAGATGTGAGTTACCCTTTCTACAGTCAAATGTATCCTACACAAATGACACTCTGACATTGTGCTTTTCAGTTTGTAAGAAATAATCTTGAAACTCTGATGGAAATCTAACATAGTTTCTTTATGTTTATTCAAATTTTATTACAGATTTATATAAAAGTAGTATCTTGAGCTGTAAGATGCATGGCTATATTTTATTAATGTCTTGTTTTCCTGGAAAATATAAATGACACAGAGCGCAATCTTGTATCTGTATATTGCTATTACTTTTCTTTAGAAGATGAGTAATTTCAGTTAACAAAAGATTTGAACTGGTAGTTTAAAATGTAGTGAAATGCAGATTCTATTGCTCTGATTATCTCCCTGGTATGGACTGTAGAAGAAATGGTTGTTTTTTTATTAATGACAATAAGAGCATTAAGCTAATTCATTATTCTCCAAGGGCAAAAAGAAGCTGAACATTCATAGAATGTAATTGTAAAAATAAGTATCTGGATTTCATTCTGTTTGCTTGATTTTGAAGATAATACAATTAGCCAACTTAAACTATCCACCAGTCTGCAGTAGAACTCATTTCAGTGCTAGTTCAATGTTTCTGAATTTGGTATGTGAGTATCTAACATCTAAGATATATCTGACTGACTGGCTATGGTGCAACAGCCTGAAACTGAGCCTTGGCCTCCTCCTATGTGGGAGGTTTCTATGTCTTTGAAGTGTGCATTTATGAGTACTGAGTGACAAGCCAACTGCCTCTGCACAATTTTTTCTCAATCCTGATTTGTCTGCTAGAGCCATCTAGTAGTGAATCAGGAGAGACTTGGGTGAGAAATGGCTGCTGAATTTTGCTTATGAAACATCTCGTTCTTGCTTGTAAGGTTTTTTTATATGCTATGGGACCGCTGGCTTTACTTCCTTCCCCTCCGAAGGAAGTTGTGCTACAGATTTTTATCGCCCTTAAAAATCCATCGACCTCAGCTGGGTTTAAACCCGCTAACCCTAGGTTCACTGGCGAGCACACTAACCACTAGTCCACCGAGGGTCTAAGATATATCACTAGGAGAAATATAGCATGAAAGTTATTGTTCTTGATTTATACTAGACTGCCAACAGAAAATTGGCACATGTCTATTATATGTGAAGCAATGCAACCAGTTCTTCTCACTAACCTCACTGCAGACCACTAACAAATGAGCCAAATTTAGTTATGGGGTTTCTCTTTCATCTGAAAGATGCCCATTTATTTTATTACTGTTACCGCTGCAGCATGTTTTGTATGTTGCTTGTGAATGTTTGCTTGCACTGTATATGTTTTCTTTTAGATTGGCAGCGTAGCATTGCCTTCGCTTTGCTGGGACACTTTGGGGCAAGATGCCCCAGCTTTTATAAGCATTTATGAGTGTATGGGTGATAACAACAATGGTGATCTATCTCAGGTAATTAATTGTTTGACCCTTTTCTTGGTAGTTACGCAATGTGGCCTCTCAGAACTGTATGGACACGTTGGGCTACAGCCCACCTAGCCTCATGGGGATGTCCCATTGCCATGGGTTTGGAAATAACCAGGTGAGGATCTTTGTATCCCTGTGTTTAATTATTTTAAATACTTGAAATTCTCATTTAATATTTCTCAAGACGACATTGGATTTCAAGACTAAACAGAAAAAAGCTTTAAATAAAGGATAATGAGGCTTAGGTTGCAGAAATTCAGCATGATGAGAGAACTTATGAACACCGTGGAACAGAACCTTTCTGACTAAGAAATTTGATTCCTTTTATGGAACCTGAAGTTTCATTACCATCCTGAACCAGTCTAGTCCATACTTCTGTACCATAGTTCTTTGAGATATATTTGAATGTATTCTCACATTTGTGCTGACTCCGTAGTGGTCTCATCCTTTCAGTTTTTTAATGAGCGTTTTGTATTTTCCTTAGTTCTCTAATACTTGCTACTTCCTACATCCGTCTCAACCATCTTTGTTTAATTGCTTTAGCCTTTGTCATAAGGTAGTAGGGGATTTCATCGCCTGTTCTACGAGACTGGCACCAGGACTTTAACTCCAGGGTTTAAGGGTTTAGCAGTATGCTACTGCAATACACAGCCAGCTGGACTTCACATAAGACCACAATGGATGATACAGGTTAATACTGTGTGTTGTGAAGTGTCACAAGAAAAACTTGAGAGTCATTAATTAAATGGAAGGTTATTCATTGTTTTCACAAATGTAAAATTTGCAAGAATATTTTTATTTCCCATAAGATTTTTGTTTAGTTAAATTGTCAGATATATATAACTCTTGTAATTTGAGGGGAATAAACCATTGGTGGTTTACAAAGCTCTAATCAGTCTTCTGTAATTTGTCAGTAGATGAAGCATTGATAGGTTTGAAGTGACTTTTAACATTCCAGCTATGAATTGGCTGTAAGTTTTTAAAGGATGCTTTGCCTACAGCTCCTTGTTTTTTTATGTCATGGCAGTTATATTTAGTGTACCAGACAACATTTGGGAAAAATTGGTCCAAAGAGAAGTTAGGGAAAACCACTACTGTCAAGTAGTATGATGATTTATATTTAATTTGGTCTGGTTTCTTTTCTGTTAATGGTCAGATTTGTGAATGAACAATAATAAACTCTTTGTGAGATTTAAGGTTCTCATGGCAGTGAAGATGATGATGATGTGGATTATGATGCTATGTGGACTCAGGTAGATACCAGCATTTCAGATAAATGTACTGTCTTCATCTTCAGGCTTGAAGTTTTAATTGTACCTAACATGTGTTCGTAGCTAATACGACTGAATGCAAAAGGGCAGCTTGGAGTTGGGGAACGTTGCTTTGAAGCAGATACACAGGGAATTAAATTGGTTTTCTGCCGTCTGGGTACTGTGGATGGACCATGGGAATACGATGAGGTAAGTTAAAGAAGTACACATTTTGCTGAAGTTCATTTCATATGAGATAAATAGAGCATCCTCATATTCTTAATACAAAGAAATACAGACATGTGATATTAGGTTACCTGGTTCATTGAGCTAGCTGTCAGTGATGGTGCTAGATAGCATACATCTAAGTCTCTGAATCCAGTATGCTGATATGAAAGGCCACTACTGTACACAATCCAGAGGCAGTTTAGTTTGTCCATTTCACATCCACGCAATCTATTTCCTAAGGTCAATCTTAATGGTGTCCTTTCGTCACCTTCTTGGTCTTCTAAGTAGCTGTTTGGCAGGATTTTCCTACCGTAATTCTGTAGGCATTTGTTTTCTCTGTTCTAGCTACATGCCCAGCACATTGAAACTTTTTTTATCCACTAAATGGCACATATTGCTGGACCTAGTGACAATTATTTTTGAACTGACACATTATTACCATGAATACTTGTGTCATATTATACATAACTCCTTGGATTACTCATACATGTTTCTGCTACAGTTTCCAGTTATCTATTTTCAACTGTCTAAGTAACCATGCATTAGAATTGAGAAAATATAACGTAAGTAATGTCCGTTTTGTAGGCAAATATCTTTGTATCTTGTCTGCCAAATTGTTTCTTTGGTGATAAGTTTATTGACTTTGTGCAAACACTTAGTAGAACATTGCACTAGAGCAGATACACAGAGAATAAAACTGGTCTTCTGCCATCTGGGTACTTTGTATGGGCCATGGGACTATGCTGAGGTACATTAAAGAAGCACATAGTTACCTGAAGTCCAGTTTATGCTATAAAATCTAGTTTTTTAAATATGTGCATTATTGCAGTTTAAAAGCTGTAGGTAAAATTTCTGCTGCCCCTATGTTATTTGTTGTGACAGCATATTGGAAGGTGTGGAGGTATGGATAGCTATCCTTATTCTGAAAAGTGGAATTCGATGATAGTGAGTTATCAGCATACATACATTTAATCTCCAGGGAAGATTTGTCAGTATGCTGAAGACAGAAGGCTGGGTCGTATAATTTGAACCCTGACCAGTCACCTTGATTAATTTTTGTTGTTCAGTTACTTGTTGATTTATTTCAGATAAGTCACACGCTGTTGCATCGCATCCATAAGAAATGTGTGGCCCTCCATCCCCAAACCTCACACCTGTCTCTCATGCCATGTGACACTGTCAACACTTACCAGCAGTGGACATTCAAGGAACTGCAACCCAAGTACTGAACAGGTCTGCAGATACTCCATTTATCTTCTTATTTCTCAGCATGTTGATGTTTGGCATTTATTGACCTACTTTTCTTCTTCTGTATGATGAATGTGTATATCTTTCATCTGCTTAACTTTATTACCACACTGCCTTATAAACTGTACAAACCCAAATGACTGGAAGAGTGCAAGGTATCTGATTTATCCTGACTGGATTTCCTTTGTATGTTTTCACACAAATGCCATGATGGTGAAGCATTAGCTGTACAAGTTTTGGTTACTGATTGTAATTCTCCAGGTTTGACAGAATTTTGTGTGTGGAGATCATAAAAATAAAGAGGAAGAAATTGCCCAAGAAACTGAAAGAAAGAAGGTATGGTGTAAAAAGCCAGGTCATGATGAGAACACTGTAAACAGACTTACAGAATAGCATTTTCCTAGAATACATCCCACAGGAAAGAAGTCTAAGCCAACAGAATGGTGTGTGTGGTCTGCAGCAAGCATAACTGTCAGGACTGTGATGATACTCTGTGTGTGGTTGGGTGTTTTGAGACTTATCTCACAAAGAAACATTTTTGAAGTGATGCAAAATGCAGATCTATACTCCGGAGTCTGTAGGGAACCCAAATTCCAAACTTTTTTCCGATAGAACAAATAACATGGAAGATACTTCACTTCCAAATGTATGTTGTCGATTAAAATTTAAATACCCTTAAATACTGCTTCCACATCATGTTATACCATGGTGATTAGATGCCCCTGCTTTAAGGAATGGAGAAATGTTGTTGCCAGAACTTCTTGTTTCCTTATTGGCTCCTAATAGTTATTCATTTGACAAATGTTTCTAATTTGATACTTTTAATAAGACTTCATATTTCCAAATGCCATCAAAATGTACTCATTACTGAGTTACGTTTTCTTCACTTTTCAGCCTCATCCTGGTTCTCTGTTCCTTTCTGTGTGATAAAAACAAAGTGGAGTTACAGTTTCATCAACATTGCAACTCTCAATACAGAGACTGATAATGGGAGAGACTTCATGTGAATGTAAGCAAGTAGGGGAATTGTATTTCAGGCCAGAGTTACTTCTGAGTAATCATAGGTCCAGTGATTAAGGAATTGTTAGCCCAGGACTATCCATTGTGAACTATTTGTGACTGCAGCTGCCTTCTGATTTCTGCCAGAGCCTGAGGAGACATGAACCCACTTAACATTGTTGAAGTTTTACATAATTTCTTAAAAATTAACTCCTGCTGTGATCAAGACCTTAATGCTGAAATCACTGTGGTACAAAGTGTTCATAAAAATACAGTCCATCATTTCGTCTCTCAGTCACTATTCTCTTCCATGTCATTAGACAAGATGCAGCATAATTGTGAAATTCTTAGAATATTTTATTCTGTTAATTGGTTAATTGTGGAACCGGAGATAACTTCCCTGACTGTGTGGGTAATCTACAGAGCAAGAACTTGTTTTGAAAACAGAATAAAATATATCAGTACTTGTATTAAGATATAATTTGAGTAGTTTGCTAGTTTGGTATGTAAATATTTAAAGAGGACCACAGGATATATTTTCCACAAGGAAACTATTTTGGTACTACATCATGTGTGAGAATGTTTCTTTGCTTTACAAGTGTGAAAATTCATTTCTTCTTATAGTGAAGTACTGATAGAAGACTAGACCATACCGTAACACAAATTGGTGCCTGGTCATATTGTGCTGCTGTACTGATGTTTAATGTGGTCTTAAAAATAGTGAAAAGTAATAGTATAATTTTATTGAGTATTTTGAATGGGAATTGTTCTTCGACAAATCATTGTCAGAAATTTTAACTGATATTGGTATATGTCCTGCTATATAACTTGAACATATCATATCGTGTGCCTATGAGTGTGTGAGTGATTGGTTGACTAATATTAATGCACCAAAATATGAATATGCTCCTTGTTTGTAACAAACATAATATAATATTGTATGATTTCTGAATTTTTAATTAAATACACATTAGACCCTGCTTGTTCCTTTTTATTGTATGTTATTTTATAAAAATAGTAACTAGATTAAATTTTAAGTTTTTATAGCACTGGGAATTTAGATCATGATCATGTAGGTTGTAACACTTACAGATTCTGGTGGACAGGAATGGTGAGTGAAGCCCTGGAAAGGGCTTTCCCTGTTTCATATTACTACAGGCAGGCCTCTGTCTCCTTTTTCCCCATTCCTGGCTGACCAGTCTTGTTTCACTAGGCCTGATCTCTTCACCATTCCTACATAACCCACCTTAATCCCAGCTCTACTGACATCTACTCTTAGGAATGAGGCAGCAGATTCTTCAGAATTTTTGATAACCACCTACATGACTATACTGTGTTGCAACTCCATATGATTGTATGTTATAGTCTTACAGGCTCTAAGGAAATTGCAACATATCATTTTCTGTTTCTCACACTCTTTGGCTTAAACATTATTTCTTCCTTCATTCTTGCTTATTTCTTGGTTTCCCATGCTTTATTCCTATTTCTTTGTTTTATTTCTTGTGTTTCGAATATGAAACATGAAAATATTTTGTCTATGAGCAGATCTAATTATTTCCAATTTGTGGCAGGATTGTTTCTTGTAAGAAATTTGAGGATGGCCAGTATGGAACAAAATTATGTGAGGAGCATGTATTGGATTGTTTCTGCTAATATGTTGTCTTTCACTTCCAATTCCATACTGAAGTTACAGTTTTATTAGACAGGCAGTTATGTTATCAGTTTGTCAGTTATTGGTAGCTAATCATGTTCCAATGGGATGTTGCCACAATTTTGATTGCAGACTAATACCTGTGCTGTTTCTATCTCTTATTAGCAAGTATATTCCTGATGGCCAGTTGAGGCCACAGACTGTTACATTCAGCTTTTAGAGTAAGACTAAATCTTTGTTTAGTTTTGAGAGCAATGTTTATACAGAATGTCCCACTTAACTTTGAACCTATCATCACAGCATGCTGCAGCAATAATGAGCAAACTACCAGGCACAGATTATACCAAATTGCAGAAAAATGAGTCAGCCACAGTACAGGATGTTGCTGTCACATGCTGCTGTAGTCAAGGCAAATCTATGTGGTTGAGATCTACCTGAAGCAAAAGGCAAGTGAATCAGGGGGATGTAATGGGCAGTAGATAAGGAATCAAACTGCTCATAGTATAAGCATTATTTCCCACTAGCAGCACTTTATAGCCCATTGTATGATTTCCAGTGGCTGTAATGTCTTTGGTTTACATAATGTATGCACTTTTTCATTTTCTCTCATGCTAGTGAAGTGGGCAAAACAGACATATGCTCCCTAACTACAATTTAAGGATATTAGTATTCATCTGTGAAAAGAAGACACTGACATGTAGGTTAAGCTATGACTAATACGGTCTATGGCGTGGTTGATTGTATGTTATGTATGGTGGGAATCACACCACGGGTGTCTTAGTTACGCAGCGTCTTCATTGTTAATCTGTAAACTAAAGGTTACATACCACGGATCACCTTAAGCATTCTTGGTAATTCCCTTTGTCATCTGTGCTGTACAACTACTTTCATACTCTGTGCTGGATACGTCGATTTCTGTTCGTGTTAGTCTATGAATGGATTTGTGTGGTGTTTATTTAAACCGATGATACGAAATAGTTAACGTTGACGTGCATTGTTCATAACAATTATAGTTGAAAGACTATGTCCAAGGATAGTGATACATATCCCCTTCCCATCGGACCTAACGACTTGTGTTTTGATAAAAATGAATTTATTAAGGTACAAAGCATTTCAATGTGTGTGTGTGTGTCTATATATATATATATATATATATATATAAAATTTCTATAACTGGGCGTGCTGCATTTTTAAGGTTAAAACGAATATTAAGAAAATTAAGAAAAATAGTCAACGTAAACAGTCTTTGTCTTTTTCGTCCTCACCAGTTCTACATATTTAATATATAGAAATATGTTGCTGCTGTTGTGAATGTCAGTTTTGTATACATATTTTTATATTTTTTCAGGATATTCTTACAGTTCATTGTTTACATATGTTTTATTTATAGCTGACACCAATCAAGTTTGTTTATTTAAATTTCGACTTCGATACATTTAATTGTTGATGAGTTAAGGGGAACGTACATTTATTTTTCCATTACACATTGCTCATGAAACTGTTTCACTCCTCATAACTGACTTATTTCTAGAAGTATGAAGAAAAGTAACTTTGTTATTCTACCTATTTTCAGAAATCTTTTTCTGTGGACCAGTTTCTGCAGAATCACCGTAAGAAGGCAAACCTAGAAACTCTACGAGATGATTTGGGGATATACTTGAAAGTTCTTCGTTCGGCAATGATAGAGTTAATAAATAAAGACTATGCAGACTTTGTTAATTTGTCAAGCAACTTAATTGGTTTGGATAAGGCCATAAATGGTATACAAGTACCACTTGGTCAGCTGAAGGAAGAAGTGTTGGTATGTTAAAGCTTGCATTTTGTGTGTATAATGCGTAGGAGAAGAGGCTAGTTACCTTCCCTTTCCAAAGTAATTTTCATTGTAATAAGGTAACTATAATAACACATTAACATGTTATCTACAAAAATATTGCAGTAGATATTAAAGTGGTAAAACTTCTATCTCATCTAGTCCAATGACCAAGCAGCTGAAGAGCTGCTTGGAATCGATGGAGAGGCTCTCAGTATGTTATTATCCAGATAAAGTAAAAAGTTCATTTACTTCATTTAGATAATTTATATCTTAATTGCGTCATGTTTATGTTTTATTGATACAATATTTTATTTTCCGTCTATACACAAACTTAAAATAATGTTGTTTAAAATTACTTAAAATTATAACATTCTCAGTAGATACTGCATTTTGTTACATTTTTTGTTATCGACGACATGTTTCAATGTGTATTACATCATCATCAGGTCTATCAATTTTAATATATTTTAAAAACTGTTGTACATCTTGCGTTGCGATAGTACATTTCTCTAGCATGAATATAAAGGCAAAAGTGCCATTTTAAATAATGACAAATGTGATAGGAACTTCTTAATTAAAATATAAAATGGTTTTCCTGCTCAGTTATTTGTTACATTAGACTTTTAATAATCATAATTAAAGTGGACCATACATGCAATATATGGTTAGTTTTATTATATGTCTTTCATGTAATTTTCTTATGAAATTTAATTAATCCACATTTTGCCTTTTTTTCTTTTGTAATCTTAGTTTAGTAGTGAACTCATAATTTCATTTTTTCTTTGCTCTAGCAAGTGAAGTTGAACTTGGATGAAACAATGGAGGATCTGTCATTTCGTCTTGAGCAGCGCCGGCAAATTCGTGCAAGGAAACAATGCCTCCAAAGCTTGGCTCGTGTACAGAGTTCTTTGAGCAAGTGGAGCACACTTCTGAACTTGGATGAAGATGCCAAAAAAGAAGAAGGATTAGAAAGAAAACAGCAAAGGCCACAACTAGATTCAGGTCTTGTGGAACGAGCAGCTTCTGAATTTAACCAGCTCCAGTTTTGCATTTCAAAATGTGAGAATGACTTGGCAGAAAGTCACAAGAAGGTAAGGGGACATGTGAAAATGGATGTCACTGTTGTTCTTCTAGGTTAGAATGCTGTGTGGGCTAGTAGGTTTTACCTGTCTACAAATCCACAAGGAGTCATAACCCAGAAGATCAGTGTCAACATTTTCACCATTGCAAGTTAGTTTGACTCTGGTGATTTTGTCCTGTAGTAAAATGTATGTAAAGTATTTCATGTTATTCTTTATTGCCAAAGACTTTCTTACACTGAAATAAATTGTAAGTGTTAAAATGAAGACTCTCTAAACATACTCACTTTTCAGTATTCAACAGTGTTGATCAATATAACAGGTTATTTCTTATGGTGTACTTGTACTATTTGACATATTATACCACTTTTAGAATTAGGATACAATATTTGCAATCATATACTAAGGAGAAAAGTCGTGTAAGAATATAATAATGTCTGATTTACAAATGTGTGATCATTATTATTGTTTAGTGTAAGTTATGTTTTGTGTCTAGCATGCAGAGAAGATTTGTGATCTACTTACATCAAGTCTTGATGGGATGTTCCTTGAAAGTTTGCATGAGAGAGACAGTGAAGGGATGGCTCGTTGTTTGAGAATCTACATCACCCTGGACAAAATAGCAGATGTAGAGTCTTTGTTCAGAAGAGAGGTTATATCACCTTCCTTGGATGAAGTTATCAGTGAAAATTCTCTGCAGTCAGATCCTAGAGGCCTTGAGGGTGTGTACTCAAGAATTTTATCTTTCATTGACAGAAACATGGAACAGCTGTTGAAGCTTACTGGAAGAGGAGTACGGTGAGTTAATTTTAATTCTAAAATTGTGGTTGATGTCACATTCACACTAACCAACTTTAATTTCTTAAGCCACTGTTTAGATGCTTTATTTATTTGTTGAAAAACATTATTTAAACATCACTCTGACTGTTATGGTTGCTAATTGTGTTAGCATTCAGAAACTGTTGTGCACTCACTGTTTCTTGAGTTACTTAAAATTATATAAATAATAAACCTCTTTTTTAAACCTTGCTTACTGTGTAGTGTATTGGAATATGAAACATGCATACAAACAAAACTGTTTACACTTTGAAGGACACTAATGCCAAACGCATTTTGACCTCAAGAGGTCATCATTAGTGGCAAAAACCAAGTTAATTCATATAATAGAAATCAAAAAGATTATTGTTTTTAACTGCCGTTGTTGGTCTACGGTGAGCCATGGTTGCATCGTCTGTGCCTGTGAACTTCAATGAGTAACGCCCACGCATAGTTGAAGTTGAGCAAAAAGTCTTCACATTGTTTTCTTTCTTTTCAGAATGCCCACTGTAAAAGGATTTGACTTCCTTGTGAATAGCTTCTGGCCTGAAGTAGAACAACGATTGGAATTATATTTGCCTTTAATATATGCCCCAGGTAATCCAGAAATGTTCTATCAGGTATGTAAAGTTTATTAGAGGATACTCATTTATTATCAGAAATAGGATGTAGAACTTGAATCATCAAGTGGTATAAATTCATCACTTTATTTACATTGGGGGTCTACTCAAGTGTAACTGTTGGGTTTATCTGTTAATTGGCAAATTTTTAATAGCAGTTTACTTGTTAGTTGACATTGGACAGTTTCAAGAACATTTTGGAAGGTAAAGATTGAAAATTTATCTTACATGTCATGTTTCTAATGTAACTGTTTTACCACCATGACTGAGTGCAACTTCTGTGTTTTAAGGCTTTCTATATTGTTATATTTGATTTTCTAATTAAATGCATTTGATAAATTTTGTCATATTTGGTTCCAGAGGTACTGTGAAACGCAGGACTTTCTGGGAAAACTAGAGAGGTACTGTGGTACTCAAGTTGGTGTGAAGAAGCTACATGCTCATCCTCAGTATGTGGCTTTTCTTCAACGCTGGAATCTTCCTGTGTACTTCCAGATCAGGTGACCATTTTTCTGTTTTGAAATTACAGTTTTTTTGTTCTCTGGGTGCTCATTTTTCTGTTGTAATTCTGTCAATATTATGTTTATTCAGTTACACTGCAGGCTTTGTAATTTGGTGCTGGATAATTTTCATGTAACTGATCCACAGTTAAGAAGTAAAGAAGGGGCATAATTGTATATTTGCTTTGAAATTCAAAGTTTATACGTACCCTTGTTCTTAATTTACACATTATTGTAAGGAGTAAATTGAATTCAAGAAAGGAAATCATCACATAACCCAAAGCTTATCACACGTGTTAAAGGTTCCAGGAAATCGCTGGCATACTTGAGACTGTCCTGAGTGAAGGAAATCCTGGGGTTCTGTCAGCTCCAACAGATTTTCAGTTGCAGGCAACAGCTACTGCTTGGGATTGCCTTATGCGCTGCTGGGCAAGCGGAGTTTTTATGTACCAGCTCACACACAGGTATTTGTGTCTCTCTTTACTCTTGCTTTTTCTTTTAAATGACGTAACTTTAAGTGCACTTGTGTACTACTTAGTTTTGTAACTTATACATATAATTTTTTTTCTTAAAATTGAGTGTTATTTATAACAGTTCTTGTTTCCCAATGGAAACATTTCTATGAATCTCAGATATCACAAATTTTTATGAAGTCATGTTCCCCATTTATTCATGGACAAGTCAGTTGTGGAAACACTTGCAGTTCCTCCCTTCACTTTTCATGCAACATTTTTTTTTGGAGGGGGGAAGCAGTTCCTCTTGCATCTCATTTACCAGTCATGTAATATACCCCTCACTGTATACATATGTCAAAAATAAATTTGGTGGGAAACATCCTATGAAAGACTAAAACACAGATAAGCAGAAGATATTAAAAGTGGGTTTTAAGGAAATAAGTCTTGGAAATGAGCTTATTTGACTCAGGATAGGGTCTAAGGCCAGGTTTTTGTGTTGGCTGATAAAACTTTGGGATCTAATAGCAAAGCGTTTGTAAATTCTTTAGTCTCTTAGTCAGTGTCAGTTATTTGGCTATTCAATTGTGTACTAAATAATTTTTTAACAGTGTCACTGTTCTGTGTGGCTCATACTTTTCCATCTTCTATCCTGAATTTAATTTTTATTACATACTTGATCTGTGTATTCAGAGCTCCGAGAATTTGTCCTCTCAGTCACAGAGCAGGTGCCCTGCCAAAGCAATGAGTATTTGCAGGGTTAGAGGTGAAAGAATTGATTGTGATTTTCTGTGTAATTTTTTAAGTGTGTGCAATAGATATAATGAATTTGATACAAATTTTGCAGGTAAAATTGTGGTCAATAATGTGTTCCAGGTTTTGGAAATTGAATCTTCAGATTTTAGCTCGATATTATACCTGGGTTGGTGAATCTCTGGAGCAGAAGTGGCCTTCTGAGAGTTTAGCTTCCAATGCATTTAGTAGTGATACCTCTTGTTCAGCTAGACTTCAGTTTCTGGTGCATCTGTATACTGATGTGAACAAACTTGTTGCAAGATTGCCAAATTTATTGGACACTGTCACAATGAAGTTGGATAGCTTATCTCAACAAGGACAGGAATTGCTCAAGAGTGAGTCAGATGTACGATTAGTTTCATTTTAATCCTTTCAGTGTTATAAAAACAGCAGTTCCATGTTCCAGAAAGCATGCTCTGAGTTATGTTTTGGACTGAGCTGTCAACTATTCTCTGTGATACAACATAAATGTATTCATGTCTTTGATACAGATTTAGTTTTAAAGATAAAAGTAATATAGTTTCAGAGATTAAATTACATTGATAAACAAAATATGACAGTGATAACGTACAGCTTTTTTATTCAGTAAAAATGTATCAGCTAATGCAGTTGTAATTTTTCAGATCTCCTATGTTTGCAAAATGCCAGTCTTTTTCATTGTTTTAAATTGAGGTCTTAACATATACTTTAACCATAAAAACTGTGAAACAAAACAACAGAATATATACATTTCATCCATGTATTTGCAGTTTGCTGTTGAATTTAGATGAAGTTCATTGTTCTCTGTTGCCTTCATTTTTCTTGTATTGCATGTCTGTTTTTACATAACATCAGATTGTCCAAACAGGTTGTCTTAAGGAATCAGAACAGCAGTTACTCACTAGACTGCCTCTGATAACACAGTTCATTCTTGGTGAAATAAGCAGCCAGAGCTTGCCATACTTGCGACAAGTGAGTGATATTCCTAGACTATTCAGACGTACCAACAGAGAGATGCCAACTAAACCTTGTTCATATGTGGCGCAAGTTGTGGCTCTGCCAATGGCATTCTATAATGCTCAAAAATCAGTAGTGAACACAGAGCTGCTGGAAAATTGGTTGACACTCACATTCTCAGCAATAACACAACAGTAAGTTTCTTTTTGAAAATATTGTAAAATATTTAGACTTGCTTTTGTATTTACATTGTAAAATACTGTATCTTAACACACCCCTGGTTCTTTTAGGGGAGATATTTATTTTAAGATGGTTAATCATGGTGTATTTATTATTTATAGAAACAGTTCATTATAATCTGAATTCCTGTTTGTAAGATAAAGGCATTAATGATATCATCGTACATAGAGATTTTTGTCTCTGTTGCCTATAGTTGCTTTGGGAGACATACAGCATGCTTTTTGTGCACAAGGGTAAACTGTAATGGAACAGGATGTATCCGTGATTGTGACTGAATTATGTTTTGAAGTGTATACAAACAAATTGGTGTGTATGTAAGGGCATATACAGCAAAGGCTGGGCTGGGTGTTCTCAGTGAGTGTTTTCATGGCTGATTTCTGTCTGTTGGTTTCTTGCATGTATATTTTGATTATGACTGATCTTGGCCACCATACTCTCCAGATCTAAACTGTTTATTTTCATACATTTCTCTCAAGGATACTGTTCACAGAAATCATATACAATTCAATAATTGAAGCAATAAATTTCAACAGCTTTGATCAGAATTAATGAATGCACAATGGCTGAGGTACTGCAGCATTTCCAGAGAAGACTAAATATGATTTGGGTGCCAGTGGTGCACAAATTGAAAATGTTTTCACTTGACATTCAGTGTCCCAAGACTATTGTGTTCAGTAACACCAAATACAGTGGAATGTGTCATGTATTTTAGGAAATACAGTGAAACCTCGATGCATCGTTTTCGGCGGGGGTGGGAAATAAAAACGATGAATGCGGGAAAACGATAGATGCGGGAAAGCATTAAAAATTTTAAAAAAAAAACAATGTTTCTCTTTCAAAGTTACTTCTTTTTACCAAAAAAGTCTTTAATGGACAACTGGTTTGTCGAAACTTTACGTTTTAGGCCAAACAGAGCCCTTTCCACGTTCAAAATGTTTTCTTCGTCACGTTCACTAATATTATGCGCATAAAAGAACGACTTCACTTTTGCCAATGCAGCGTGTGCTTCGGCAAAACTCGGCAAAGTTCGGGCTCGCATTCGTCGTTTCTCCCTCTTCCTCGCACAATTATCAACAAACAGCAAAATCTTTCTGCCTTGTGCGCCCATGGAGGCATCCAGAGAACTTAAAAACGCCGTAAAGATGTCTGTTGTCATCCAAGCCTTTTTGTTGGCGTGATATTTCACCGGAAGTTTTTTCATGTTTTTGAAACAACGCGGTTTTCGTGATTTTCCAACTACAATCGGAACCCGTTTGTCACTACCGTCACTGTTAACACACAGAAGAACAGTAATTCGGTGTTTTGCACGTATTCCCCCGTGGCAAGATTCACCTTTCAATGCCAGAGTCCTATCCGGGAGGGCGTTGTAGAAAAGTCCGGTCTCATCCGCATTATAAATGTCCCGCGGCTCATATCCCTCCAGCAGTGTTGGCAGTCTCTCGAGCCACAGCTCCGTTATTTCCACATCCACAGCAGCACTTTCGCCTTTCCTTTGTCCTTGTAATAAAAGCATTTGTGAAGAAATTCACACTGCACATGCCATCTGGCATCGCTGGAACGAAATATGAGTGCACCCTAATTAAAATCGTAAAATTTCTGACAATGGGCACCGCCATTCACTCCAACTATCACCCCTGCACCGCTGACCCTCATTCCAAAAGAATGTGCTGGTTGGGCGACATAACAGGTTACCGCTACTGTTTATTCCAAAAACATTGTGCGTCTTTCGGTATTAATTTATCTCTAAACCCAGCATTTTAAATTCTCAGGAACGATCATTGCGGGAAAATTGTGGGCCGGGACTACGATTTTTGAACGATCGATGCGATAAAACGATAGTTCGAGGAACGATAGAAGCGGGAAAATGTAACATTATTTTATATGGGATGTATTCGGGACCGAACAAAACGGACGATGCATCCGGGAAAACGATAGTTCCGGGAACGATGGATAGAGGTTTCACTGTAATTAAAAATGGGACTTCTTTCTAAAAATGTCTTTTATAGAAACAGAAAGAAAGAATCTTGTGACATTTTAAATTATTTCTGGGACAAGGTGTCTTGATTCTGTCCTGGAACAATCCTTATAGTGTAAATTAAATGAAATTATTTCTGTGGTAATGTAAGGGTTTTGAATGTTACTTTCTTCATGCTGGAGGTCAAATAATATACTTAGTTGAACTTCCTTTTCCAATTTCTGTTAGGTTTTTCAGTTGTGTGGATGATGTTCTCACATCAGTCCAGAAGACAGAAGAAAGTTTACGTCGTTTGAAAAAGATCCGAGACCGTTCTGCTGCAGCTTCGAGCAGTGAAGCCAGAGGAGTGGGAGATGATGATAAGATTAGGCAGCAGCTTCTTCTGGATGTGTACAGCTATTGTGAAGGGGTATGTATGATTAGATCAATTTACAAGATGGAAAATTATATTTATACTCTTGTGTGAGCCTGGAAATTTACATGACTGACATAATTAGACATTCTTCACACAGAGGCAGAGTTTCAGATTCATAATTTGGACCTTCACACACACCTAATGGCTTTGAATCCATCTTAAGTGGTTCTTATGTACTGTCCATTTTGTTTAAACTACTTTATTGAAGCTTTAAATGGGCAGTTTATTCTTACGTTTAGTGCTTACAACATTCTTGTTATTCCACCAGGAAATTGAAATTGGTCAGTTTTCATATTTTAAAGCTGTTTTAAGGCAGTAATGTGGCCATGAAAACTGTCAATAACCAACATATTTGAAAGTGTTTGAATTGTACTGCCATAAACATTTCATTCTTTCATTTGTGAGTGGTCTATTCGTCTACATTCCTACATATATTATCTTTGTTTTCAACACCACGTATGGTGGTGGTTGTGACTTTCTGCTGTCATTGGTGATGCACAGAATGACACTGCAGCACTGCTTCTCATTGTTGTACTTACTCTCCATACCTATTTTGTTCACAGTTGTATCTTACACCAGTTCTAAGTATACTGAGAGCTGGTCTCCATTTCTGATTTGCAAATGGGTTTAAGAGTACATATATTTATTTTTCCAGTTTATACACAAAACTTGTTTTAAAATAATGTTGTTAAAATTATTTATAACATTTACAATATAAATTGCATTATGTTATATTTTATGGCGCTTTTCTGTGTCGTATAATATTACATTTATCACAGCGCTTTTGATTTCGACGACATGTTTCGATGTTTACCACATCATCATCAGGCTTATCAATTCATATATTTTTAAAAACTATTGTACATTTGTGCATTGCGTTTATTGATTTTTAATTTTCAGTCTTCATCTTGATTTGGAGTATGCATTTTGATGTTCATTATCAGGTTGTATTGTGATGTGTCGGATGTCTGATATCCACAGACGATAAACTGCAACTGTGTTATTTTCTCAAACCAGTTACATGCTTCAGAAAAGCCAACACATTTTCTTTGGTTGTGTTTGTTCACTGTTTCAAAAAATAATTTTTCCTTAACAACTAATGTGACCAAACGTTATCTTGTAAGGAGCCATACCATGGTATTTTGAGACCAAATATATTACTTATTCTGTCATAACTTTTATTCTGTTGCAGTCATAAAAGTAGATAAATAAGTAAAAAGTATACTATTATGCATACACATGCAGTTGTATATTAAAAGTGTTGAGAACATTGTTTTTTTAAAATATTCATCTTGGTTATCAAACTCATATTGTAGTTTTAACTTTGTCACTTTATTCTTCTGTCATATGGTTGATGCCTAGCTCAACTTTTATACTGGTGCATATGAATGTCCTATATTTATATATTAAAAATGTTAAACTACTTACAAACTAATAGACAATTGATTCCATGTTTGTTGACATACCTCTATTTTGTTATGCATAGCACTTTTTTTTCCCAAAACAGGAAGCACTGAAAGTGACATATAGTATGTTGTTTTGATGCAAAAAATTAAGAATTAAGGTATGCATGGTTATTTTGATAAATACAGTTTTAATAGCTCAGAATCCAAGTTCCATATCCTAAATTTGATAATATAAACCATTTTCTTCTCCAGGTTGAAAGTGTTGGCATAGCAAGAATGAATGTGGATAAGTTAGAAGAACTTGTATCGTTGGTGGAGGCTGCCAGAACTAAGAGTGACTTAAATAAATGATAACATTCTTAAAGATAGCATTAAATCTGGAAAAACAACTTCAATAATAATATATATATGGTAATGTGGACCTTGAGAAAAAATTATTGACCTTGTTGAGAATGAGAAATCTGCAATTTCGGTGACAGTCTGTATGCCACTAGTGCCTCTTTATTGTGTGTATGTTGATAAAAAATGTCATTAAAGCCAGTTGACATATGTGCAGCTTTGTGAATTCTGTGTCATATGAAGGCTATGATGCCCACATGAACTCTTGATGCAGGAGCAACAGTAATGTCATTTGTTTTATGATCCTAAAACAATGTTTAGTTATTGATTATTGAAAAATATGTGACTTTTAGTCACCTTTCACCGTTACGTTACTGTGTTAACTGCTGTGGTAGATTGCCGAGTGCTGATTTATTTTCAGTAGTTTTCCCCTTTTTGACGTAAATACGTCTAAATGGAAGGGTCATTCGGCAAAAAAGTGTAACGAAAATGTGTAAGATCCGTATCAACAAATCGACAACAATGGTTAGCTTGCGTGCATTGTTATGTTACCTAACAAACGTCATCTGTTTTACTCGGCATTGTTGTGTTAAATTACTGCCGTCAACAATCCGCTTTCGTAACAAGATGGATGACATTGAAGATAACATTACATTTCATTACTTTACATTACAGAGACGTAATCTATTATAAAAAATTGTGATTCCTCGTCAATAAATTACGTCATCAACAATGCCGAGTATAAACAAACTCGGCATTGTTGTGGAACACGACAATGCCGAGTACAACACAACAATGTCGAGTACAACACAACAATGCCGAGTACAACACAACAATGTTCGTTGCTTTTTAAAAACTTGACCAACCCCTCCGAGGAGCTCCGAAAGGAGCGTTCTGCCCTAGTATAATTTAAATACAGAGACATGTTTACGTCAAATTCTCTGGAACCGTGATTCCACTGTCACTTTTATATCTGAGGACTCTACTTACCATGTGGATACCATAGGGTACAGGTTTAAGGAAACTAGACTTCCCATCTAATTTCTGTACAGGTATTTTGACATAAATAGGTCTATACGGAAGGGTCCACTGTCAATTTTGTTTCTCCCATCCATCTTCTATGTATAGCCTGCCATAACCTCCTTGATTCAGGTTACATATCCTATAAGTACTAGGAAAAGTTCACAAACCCTATATCCTACATAATAGAATGGGATTTATTTAGATGCTTTAGATGCATCTTTCTCTCCAGTGAGGTTACCATTTGGGATGTGGAGGTCATTTTTGTCTTGTGTTTGTACTTTGTGTCAGAATTTGAAAATTTTTGGTTATCCATGACAAATGAGAGTACTTCACTTGCAAGGGGAAGTATATTAAATTTTTTTAATAATTATGTACAAGACTTCTTTTTTACACCACCTATCATTCTAGTGATTTTCTATTCACTGCTAAATACTTCATTTTTGTCTGTTGCATTACCCCATAAAGGAACTCCATGACATGCTAAATTTGTTCCCTTCAGAAATTAATAAATATCCTATATTGTTTTACATTATTGTTACCATTGTTTTATGAGTAGAGTTTTAGTTCCTGTTTTACCAAATATTCACCTCACAGAAATGAGTTTCAAATTAAGTTGTAGATCTTAATTAGAAACTTACTGGTGAGTGACATTAGAAAAGATATGGACAGTTGGTACGTAATAAATGACACTAACGTTATGTTACTACACGTGATCGAATGTCATCTTTGAACTTGCGCTTTCAGTTTGGTTACCAGTGCATTCTAGTGGTAGGAATACAATACATTTCGTCAATAAGCAAGTGGTAGAAAATTGCAAAACTGAAGTTCACAAGAAACGTTTTCGTAAAAAATGTCAGATAACGAGCAGAAAGCTATGCAGTTGATGGCAGAAGCAGAAAAGAAGTTAAACTCATCGAAAGGATTTTTTGGATCATTATTTGGGTAATTATTCCAGTCGATACGAGAAATTTGTTTTAATTGATGGCTATATGAGCTCCAGGTTTGCAAACTCACGCTTTTTTGATTCTTAAACCAGCACCCACTTTTTAAAGTTAACCTTAGAAAATGTAACAGTGAAACTAATAATATCTGTAAGCAGTCTACTTTGTGAAAGACTGAAAATTGTCACAATACACAGCTTGGCCATCCTTCATTACTGTGAAAGTAAGTAGGCCTTCCTTATTATTTGCCGTTCTTTCAGGGGATCCTCTAAAGTAGAAGAGGCGGTTGATTGTTATCAACGAGCAGCAAACATGTTTAAAATGGCAAAAAAGTGGGGTTCTGCTGGAAATGCCTTCTGTGAAGCAGCCACTCTCCATGCAAAAGCAGGAAACAAACATGATGCAGCAACCAATTACGTTGATGCTGCAAATTGCTTCAAGAAATCTGATCCAAATGGTGAGATTTATTTCGTCAGTTACAGTAATTATATTAGCATTAACGTACCTTTACTTGGTTATTTGCAATTGGATTTTCAGTGATAAATAATTACATTAAGTGGATATTTCCAAAGACTTTTCTGATGTAGACGTAATTCATTTGTGTTTTAGTTAAATGTTGGACTGCCTATATCTTTGTCTCCAGTTTTCCTCTCTGGGAGATCCTTGCCAGAATTTCCCATATTTTCCACTCTTCATTTGTTTCATATTGTTTGCAAATTCAGTTAATTTTACAGTGTTACATGAACTCTTGAGATAATGTAGTGCTGACTGAGTAGTGATTCAGAAATAATAATGAAATTGTATATATTTAAAATACACTGACAAGTTAACTTTAACTTATAAATAATTTAACTGGTTGGGTTAGAATAATTTGTTAGTCTAGCATTTATAACCACATCATAAATTCAGTGACAGTTATAAAAGGTCACTGTACTGTAAATTTGTTCCCTAAAGTATGCTCTACATTTTGAAATCCACTCACCCATACTGCTATACTGAAGCAACTTGTCACTGGCAAGTGGATGAGCATATGTCTGGAGCCCTGATCATCTGAGAATCAAATGTGTGGGAAAGTAGTTGTGATATGTTTTGTGCTATTAAAAGAATATTATTGTCATCCATGTCATTATTCGTATAAATAAATAATAATTGCTGTGCTAATTATGATTAACAAATACAATAAGATTATCTACCACTATTATCCACAGAGGCTGTAAGCAGCCTGTTAAAGGCTATTGAGATCTATACAGACATGGGGAGGTTTACAATGGCAGCAAAACATCATCAGTCCATTGCAGAATTATATGAGACAGAAGCTGTAGACCTTGATCGTGCTGTACAACATTATGAGCAGGCTGCTGATTACTTCAAGGGGGAAGAAAGCAATTCATCAGCCAACAAGTGTATGCTGAAAGTAGCTCAGTATGCAGCACAACTGGAAAACTATGATAAGGCAATACAGATATATGAACAGGTGAGGAAGTGATTGTGATTGCACAACAGACGCTTTGTATCCAATATGTCTGTCAAAATATTGTCAGTCATATAAGATAAAGGTAAAGTTGTCCCTGATGCTTGACTTGAAAATGCAGGTCTTATCTCTCACAGACAACTTTGGGTTAGAAAAGAGATCATACTTGGGCCAATATAACAGTTATGAGTTATCTCCCACAGATGATTGTTATCAGCCGGTTTCATACTTGGCATTTTTATGTAATTACTGTCAGATTTGGGAGTAGCTGAGCCAGGGGGCTCAACAGATTGGCTGTTACAATCCTTTTGCCTGAAGACAGAAGTAGAATCAACTTTCAAAACATTATGGTTTTAATAACACCTAGACATCAGATGAAGTTAAAAGTAAATTGTCATATATTTAGAAAGTGGAATGAAAACTGTAATTAATTGGAAATTTTTGTACCGTGTCATTTGTCTTATTCATATTGCATTATGTATGTAAAGCACACAGTAGTAAGTGATCTTTTTTCACTTATTTTACACATATTTACATTTCAGTCATATTTGCTCATAGATTTGGCATAAATTACTGTCATTGTGTTTGTAAAGGTGGCATCTTCATCTTTGGAAAGTTCTCTTCTGAAGTATAGTTGCAAGGAATACTTCTTCCGGGCAGCACTCTGTCACTTGTGTGTGGATGTACTGAATGCACAGCATGCTTTGGAGCGTTACCAGGAATTATATCCAGCCTTCCAAGATTCACGAGAATATAAGCTGCTCAAGGTAGGAAAAGCCATGTGGTTGAATCATAAATTGACTGAGAGTAGTTCTTAATTTTCTATTAATTATAATACAGTATTTCATATATCTAATAATGAAACATTAAGGTGTTAGAAAATGTTCCATAACTGAAAATCACAGAGTTAAGAAAGAAATATTATTTTTGCCCACATGTAATTGAGACTGTCAAATGTATTTGTCTTGATTGTATTTCAGGTATTGATTGATCACATGGAAGAGCAGAATGTGGATGGTTTCACTGAAGCAGTGAAGGATTATGATTCAATTTCACGGCTAGACCAATGGTATACAACTATACTGTTACGCATAAAGAAACAGGTCAATGACAATCCTGATCTTCGTTGAAGTATCCTCGGTTGTCATGGACGCAGCCTTGATATCAACGAGCTTTGTCGTCCTACAAATGTACTGTCACGCTTCCCACAAACCAATATGAAACCATAAAAATTATAAGAATACAGTCTCTTAATAATAGACATTATTTCTGATTCATAAAAAGCTGATTATACTAATTACAATATAAAATAGCAAACAAAAAAATTGACACTATAAAAAAGACACTTGCCATATGCGTTTCAACCTCAAGAGGTCATCAGTGGCATCAGGGAAATCAATTCATTTAATTAAACCAAAATTTATACCTGCCTGTTTCACATTATTACATTTGTAGAAAATATGAGCAAAATAAATAAACATATTAAAGAACAAAACAAAAACAAAACCATATTTTAACTACTATTCCATGATAAGAACAAAAACAGTATGGCTCCAATTAGTAAGAATACCCTAAGTATTTCCACAGAACCCATGAATCTGCACATTTGCATGGGTAACAGCAAATCTAAAATAAAAAGTATGTATGAGGGTAACTTGGTTAGTAAAACATAAAATAAACATAATACAGAGTCAGCACAGAGTAGGTCATAAGTCACAATCAGATGGTGTAGAAAGCACAACACAAGAATATGGGTTCAGTATGAGAATATTTTAATTACAAAGGAACCTGACACTGACATCATTGCAAATGTTATGGACTTAACAGATATCACATCACACACAATGTAGCACTGAGCCATGCTGTGTAAACCTCCATAATAGCACACTCATGAAAAAAAAATCCCATGTAAATCCGGGAATCCCAAACATGTTACGTGACACCCGCTTCCAGAAATGTCTCACCCAACCCTCACATTCACCAGACACTGTACATATACCATCATAACAAATACCTTTTCTAATTTTTCCCACTCATAACAAACCTTTTATTATACCTTACAGACAACAGATCACAATTTATAGTCACTCCTGTATCAAGAAATATCATTACAGATACTGAGTGAACAATGACTATATTTTATTTTTACAAGAAAAATTTCAACATGATCAAAGGACAAGCTCTAGTCTGTAAAACAAGAAAAAGCAAATTTTGCTACAATCTAGAATACCACACATTCACAGTTGTATTACTGCCAAAATACAATACTACTCTTAAGACCATGTTGTCAGCTACACATACTGATTATGATCATTACAAGCAAAATGACGCAAAAGTATTTTAAGTGACACTGCACTAGATGTTATTCACGGGAGTAGAACTCTAGCTATTGATCCGGTGGTCTGGTGGCCGTAGCTGGTCTTCGGCGAGCTGTAGTTGCATCATCCGTACAGATCAGTAGCTAAGTGCAGAGTTCTACTCCCATGAATAACAACATCTAGTGCAGTGTCGCTTAAAATACTTTTGTCAAATACCCTTTTCATTATTTATTTTCTAAATCCAGTTTAAACCATTTGATTAAATGAATTAATTTCCCTGATGCCACTGATGATGACCTCTTGAGGTTGAAACGCGTATGGCAATAGTGTCTTTTTTATAGTGTTAATAGTTGTTTGTTTGCTATTTTATATTCTAATACACTACATGGTATGCAAAGTTTTTAAGATTATACTAATTACAACTTAACATTTTCCTTGCTGAATCTGTATATTAGGAAGGGAGTAATCTGGTTTCATATTTGAGTTTCTTAATTCTGTTACATGCTGCAACATGTGTAGCAACTGACTGAATGAGAGCGTGATCTCCCAGCACTTAATTTTGTTTAAGGAGGGGTAAGAGTTATTAGCACCTGTTTTTCTTATTGTTTAGTATGTAAATGTTTTGTTAATATATTTCATAATAAAGAGAGTTATTCCAGTATATTGATTTCATGAATGCATGTGAAGAGAAGTATTATTTATTACAGATTAATGGTGATTAATACTGAAGTGATGAAGCTAGAACACTTTATAAACATGAAAATAGTTTCAGAACTTGGATAATGGTTTTGTTGATATTGTCCTTTGAAAGGCATGTGAATGGCACTATTGAAAGAGCTCTACCTTCAATATAGCTATATTCACCATTGAAAATGCTTCAGTCAAGATTCATATTACATTTTGCACTAATATCATATGTATTCGGTTCTTATTAATTTCCAAGCAACGTGTTAAAGGCGTAAATGTAGTAGAATGTCATAGACTTCATACATGTTCCTGTAACAGCCTTTAATGGAAATGTGATGTGGAAAGAAAGTAACAGTTTCAAGACCTAAAACTCTGTAGTTTTTAAATGCATAACTACTGACTGTTAAATTGCAGGTGAAATACATGTTTATAGAAGCATGTCTGTGTTGCTTAAGCTGTGGCCCCCTCCCTTTAGCAAAAAATTAATTCTAACCTTATTTTCAAGATCATTGGTCTACCTTTTATCCATTACATGTTAAACTCTTAGAAGTTTAAACGTTTTATTTTTGTCATTTTTTGTGTCTTGGGTCTTTTCCCTCGCAGGAGAGATTTCATGTAGGTGAGAAATATAGATTTCTTTTATATACACATTTAGAAATAATTCTTTCTTAATAAAAAAAAAAGGAAAGATGTGATCCTTTCTAGAAGCACACTGGTTAGTAAAAGGTGAGAATGTGATTTATAAGCAAGACTGTTATTAACAAGTCGTGAAGTGAAAAATAATTGATTAGTGTAGATGTGGAACCACACTGGTCATTAGAAAGCATTAAGTTAGTTGTGTGCATTAGTTTTCATATAATAAAGGCCTCATATTCTTGTGTTTGAAAATCTTTGCTGTTCAGTTTGGTGTGTTCAATATGTGATGTCTTTCTAAAGACTGTATGGTGTTTGATGTTCTTATAAGAACTGCCATATAGTGTGCCTAGTTCTTGGTTGTTGCAGGGTCTTTTTCAGTATCTGTACATAATGAGAGTTAAAATGTAAGCACTGTGACATCTCAGGTCTGCAGTGTGGAAATGAGGAACTTGAAATAACGCCATACAACTTGAAACCTCTTTGTTTTTGTACTTTGCAACATTACTGCACTGGGTGAATGAGAATTTTTAATTCTCTTTTCACATTTACCATTGTTTTGCATTTGTATGATTTTCATACTTCTGTAGGAAGTCACCTTTGAGTGTATGTGTGAAAATGTTATTCTCATATTTTGATCACAAGATGTAATACAATAGGGTTATATAATGTTTCCTTCAAAATCTAGTGGATGACTAATCATAGTTGTGTATGTTACAGCAGTGACAAACCATGACACAGTAAAAATAAAGCTAAAGTTTAAAAATAAGTTGGTGTATGATGAGAATACCATTCTATTAAAAGACAGTTACAGAAGATACAAACTGAATTGCTTTGATTTCATCCTTGTATACCCTGCTTGGTAGGTGATCAGTGCATATACTTACATGCACTTCCTTTTAGATGATTGACACAATAGAGATATACATTATTTGTAGTCGTTTTATATTACATTAAAGGCGTCTTAATAAGATTTCCGATTTATAAAGAATTTAATAGAAATTCCTTGCATTTTTACCAAAGCAACAACATATAAAACTAAATACAATTTGGACTGTACCAAGTGTGTTAAAGGTTTCACATTTTCTATAAACTTTTGAGTGAAGTAATTTTATAATAATGGAGCTTACAAATTTGTTTTTCAAAATTTGGTTCAAATGCAGTGCAACAGAATGTAATACTGAAAATGAGAGAATGGTTTTAGAAAGTTATCATTTTCCCCATAATCTTACAATCTATTTTAATCACAGAAAAAGTAACTTCTCAGAATTAATTTTTTATAAAATGCCAATGAGGGTTTGATTTGTTCTGTAATTATAAGTTGTATTATAATGACATTTTATTCTGAGTGTACTATAGTTTATACAATATTGTGTACAGATTATAGATTATTATTCCTGTTGATACATGTCTTTTTAGTTTTAAAATGTTTGGAAATGTTTGTACATTACATAAGAAGTCTTCTTTGAAGAAAATAGTACTTAACCCTACTATGAATCATGTATAAGGGGCAGTTTCCATTTTTCAGTTTTGCACAGGCTCACTTTTGTCACTAGTGTATTGTGGGGGTATGCTAGGTTGCTGTTATCTATCACATGAATGAAGCAAACAAGGTGTGTGTATAAAGCAGATGCAATATTTGGTTGGAAAAATATATCCTTACCCATCTGCTGCCAGAGGCATATTATCAGTGTGGATGTATTCAGACAAGCATTTTATGCAATAAAACTAATGACATGCTTTACTGTCATGGAACATTCATTCTTGTTTCAACTTTTGAATTGATTCAGAGCAAGACATGTTCCTGTAGTTTGTAAATAACTGTGTTGTATGTGAATGTTGGTGAAACTCTATAGGCAATAAATTTCCACAAATAAAGCAGCATTGAAGATTTTAACTGAATGTTATATAAGTAAAAGTTAGTTTACTGATTATTTATAGATTTGAAGTTTTCAAGACTAAATGTTATTTAAAAAGTGTAAGTTAGTTTACTGATTCCTTATAGATTTGAAATTTTAAAGGACTAAATATTATTTGAGTGAAAGTCAGTTTAGTGATTCTTTATAGAGTTGAAGTTTTAATGATCTAATGTTGTTTAATTGAAGCATTTTGTATAGACACTGCTTAGTTCCAATCATACAGTATTCACAGACTTCAGGGCGTGGTTCCATTATTCAGTCTTATGAATAAACATAGTTATACCACCCCCTCGATGTAGTTTATCAGTATTTAATAAATATTCACCATTATAGTAGTTCATTTATACCTTATTTTAATGTAGTGTCATGCTGTAATATGTAATTTTTGGAATAAGCGGCAACCATGATTGCTGCTGGACAGTTAAAAAAGAAGAAGCTGTAACATTGAAGTCCTTAATAACTCCTTATGTTCCAAGTACCAAAAATCCTTCAAACTGTGCCCACATTTTTTTCAAAACATGTGATCAGTATAACATTTTTCTATGAATGACTGTTGGTCTTATACTCAAGCCCCACATACAGGAAGACCATGCTTTGTAAATTATCAGCAACTGCTTATTTGATAGATTAACAGCTACCTTCCACATCTAGAGGCCATTTCCTTGTAGTTCTGGATGAGAGCCAAAATTATACACGAGGTCAGGTGGTTTCAATTGCATGTGTTATAGGTTTGCACATCAGAAATAATATTTCTTGAACTGCAAGCAGCAAAGATGTCTGCCCAACATATGAAATATTGAAAAATATGTTAAGCACCAACAGTTGTTGATTGAAGTCTGTTACTGATGCTTTTATTCCTCTTTTCATCCATAGTTTTAGTTTTTTCAAGGGTGACATTTCCTATTGTTTAACCTGAAATGAATTTGCAAAGTTTAAATATGTAACTGGATATGAATTTGGCCAAGCAGTTTACCTAACCCAAAAATGATTTTAAGTTTTGAAGTAGAACTGGAATTTGACAACTTATCCTGTTAGAATGAACAAAAACGTCATATTTCACTTCGTGAAATTAGGGAAAAGCTTACTTTAAGTATGGAAGAATTTGAAAACAAATTTAGTACTAGTAAACTGAAGATTTAACCCCGTTCTTTGTGGAACCAAACAACCTACAGAACACTTTGGAATGATGTCCCAAAAGCCAAAAATGTCTAGTAGAAAGCAAATTTCTTTTACATATTTCAGACTGCCGCATTAAAGAAAACCACAAAAGAAATACTGCTTCTTTGAATCTGATTAATTTATTTATGAGGTCTCTTCGAAAATGGGTAGGTTGACTGCGTACGAACAGAAAAGACCTTTGTTACTGTTCCCACAAAAGCGAAGTTGTAATGTGCGGTCTTTAAGCGGGATATCCTATTCCGTTCTACAAAAGTGACACGAAGTGAAATTTATTTGTGAAATAGTTTCTGTGCATCTTGGTGCGTAATTGGAGTTGCGGAAATAGTGTGCAGTAACTGAATTTTTAATGAACAGGTCGCAGATCAGCAAGGACACTGAAAAACACCACAAAGCATGATGTTGCGAGGATTTTGAGGTTTGTGTGAAATCGGACTTTTATAATCTAGGTCCAAACATTCAAGGCTAGTTCTACATTTTCTGTATTTGAGCGGTAATGGTTGTACCAGTTATCAGAAAGTTCGCACAACGAACCCCCCTCCCCTTTTTGAGAATATGATCGTAGTATTTGGCATAACCTCTAAAGCTCATTCTATTTAAACATACATACGAATGATTAGTTTAAGAAAGATCTCTGTCACTGCGGTGGTCAGCAGTTGAAAGCCAGATAAGAAGTTCTTGCACCCATTAAGGCAATTACTATGTCGTCAAAAAATAAATATAAAATCACGGTTTCTGCGTTATCCAGTAACCTAACCTAATGGTAAGGTTGAAGGGTAAAATTAGAGTAGGTGTTCAGTTTTTAAACGCCTACAGTATTGCCATTCTATAATGGGTCATTTAATGCCAAATCAACACAGCTGAACCTGACCTCCAATAATTTGCAAGAAATTGCCAGAGATATTATGTATCATGTGAAATGTATCTTTACCAATTTGATCTCACTAAGTAAAATTTTACTGAAATAGTGGTGACCCAAACTTTGCAAAATTTATGGACGTTGGACAGAAGTTGTTGCCTTATAATGGTCATAACTTTGGCTTTATTAGGCCTAGACAGCTGTATCAATGTGTGCTGTTGACCTTGCTGAAGTAAAAATATTGGATGGTCAGTCATCTTGACCTTGGATTGTTAAAAATGTACCCTTAATTCATTCTCTTCCATTTCCTCCATAACTTTAATTACAGGATACTCATTCCATCACTGCTGAAACTATTCCAATTTTATTCAATCTTTCCATTTTTCCTAGTAAGCCAGAAGGTATTTAGATTGGAATTATATTGAAAATTATTCAAACTTTCTGAACCTTACTGCTCCAAACCTGCCAGTGTATTTGGGCTTTGATGTCACTTAATAATACTGTACACTTTCCTATGCTGGATTTTCATACTGTCAGGCCTCTTAATGTTTTGTGCTGTGGTGCTCCATTACATGGGGCTAGGGATTAGGAAGGTAGGGGCTACAGAAGTGTTGGTCATGTTGGTTGACATGAAAGTTATCTGTGATTTTACTGGTGCACTAATAGTACATAGACTTGTGACAGATTTCAAAACAAACAACATATCATACCAAATAATTCAAGGAAGTGTAAAAGAAATTGGTTCAGATGTGTTTTGAAATTAACCTACTGTTGAAGACAGGCTTGGATTGACTGCTCAGAAGTCCCCTCAGAAAACTCTTGTGGAGAGAATTTGAGATTCATGTAAACTTGTAGATTTTTGGGCCTAGGAGAGAAGAGGATGGGGTATGGAGAAAACTGCATAATGATGAGCTTAAAAATTTGTACTTTTCCCCCCATTTTTGTCAGGGTGATTGGGTCAAGAAGAATGAGACACAGAAAAATCCAGCACTAGCATCATACTCTCCATTGGTTTCTCAATCTTGGCTTTTATTGCTGGGAAACACCTCTCTTTGTATTTATAAGAATGCCTGAAGCTATATAAATTTATTGTAGGCCTGAAGTAATATGAGAGCTTTTGTGGGCTACATTTCCCTTTCCTTATCAGTAAGGTAGGATGTATGGGGTTCATAGAAATTCCTCTCATCAAAACATGTGGGAAATCCACAGAGTGATTAAGACTAGTTTAGGACTTGAAAATGTGTGCAGTGTGGAACAGTACTGATAAGAATATACTTACAACTTACATCACCAAATAAGGCGGTCATGAAAATGTGACAAGATGCTGAGTAGCATTAAGAGAAATGGTATATTGATATTGGCAGGCATTGGTACTGCAAAAATATGAGCATTTTACTGCTACTTAAATTTGACGAAATTAAAGCTATAACATTGTGTTATGCTTTTTGTTATTCAGTGCTGGTTTCTTCTGCAAAATAAATTAATTCCAATAATGTAATGGTCTGATAATTTGATATGTGATATGGTCCTTTGAATTTTTCCTAACTTCAAGCACCACCCTGCTCTTTTGCTGCATTTTGTTTTACTGCATAAAAGACTGTAAGGCAAGCTATAGTTTCATGCTGTTTATTCAAGGATAACAAGTGTTAAAGTGAGGCAGGAAGAATCTTGTTTAGCTTTGTACTCATTATTCTGAGTGAGAAAGAGATATTACAGTGTGCACTTTCGTATTGAAGCAAATTTTAGGAAGGTTGTACATTAATGTGTTGAGTCAGAGACTATGCAAGCTACCTGGAGTCTGTGTGAATCATAGTCTTCATTGCTCTCAGTTTTCTGCTCATAGAGTCTTGATTTATCATTGGTTTTCCCTTCAAGGATGTGGCTACATGAGCAGGATGTGTGAAGTCTTAACCTCACAACTTCTGACAATTTCCTGTATGTCATTGAGGTTTAGCCACTGACTATCTGTATTTTAAAATTGATAGATACAATTTTTTTATTCATTTAAAAATGTGTGTAGCATAAAAGGATTTTGCTGAAAAAATTTGTCAAGATAGCCTATATTTACTGAAGGTAAGAAAGCACTCTTAATGCATTTGTTGATATTGTTATTGTTGTCTAAAGCATAGTATCCTCTTGTACATTATGCTGTGTCTTGTTGATATTTCTAATGTTGATGAATTGTATTAACCAAGTCTCTCTTTTTAGGTGTTTTACGTAACATTTCAATGATGAAGACAACTATTTTTTGTAAGTATTTCTGTGATGACACAGTTTAAAATTTGATTCATATAATTGATAATCTGTCTTCAACAGTTCATATAATTTTCTGTAAAAAGTTATTTCTTTCATTTTGCCGTTGTAATTAGGCTGGAGCTGGACAGATGTGACAACAGACATTTGGTAATGACCAGTAATTTATCTGTGTATGGAATAAATCTTGCCAGAAGAATGTTGGAAAAGTATTATATGGAGTTGTTAAGAGTGAGAGTCTTTAATTATCACATTCTGTTTTGTACACTTAATTTCAGCCAATACTATGGTAGGTATATGCTTTTGCAGATAGATTCAATTTTTATATCTTAGAGTGCAATGCTTTTCTTGCTGCAAACTTTAATGTGTAAAGAATTGAAATAAGTTATATTTTGAAATTTTATTTTATTTCAGGCATATTTGCCATATTATGGTTTTGTGTCAGGGCTCAGGAATCTGTTTCAGATTCATTATCTGACTCCATGCTCTCTGTTACCATAGGAACTACACAGTTCGCATTAGAACTTTTGCAGGCAAGTAGCATCATGTTCATAGTAAATTAAGGAAATGTTATTATGTCATGTCATTCTTTTTTATTACTGCCTGAATGGTCACAACTCACCATACACATTTTTACATTGGTGTTAGAACAAGTAGGAAGACAGTTAATTGATTTTTGGTGTTTTGAATGGAGTTAGTTCATACAAAATTTAAATACCAGTGCAATGGTGCCTTCTACAGACATATTTTAGGAGATATGCAATAACAGCTTGACTGAATAAGAACACCTTTGTAGGAGGAAATTATGTTGTAAGTGCTTTTACCATTATTGTTCATGCATGATAGTAGTACAGTATTAAATTCTTAACCCTAGAATTAAATCTAACTGGGGCTTAAATCTGTTATTATATGGTAAAGGTTAAAGAACTTAAGGACTTACCTTAATATGTGAATAGGAGAAGTCTTCATGCAGACACCTTTTCTTTTATAATATTGTTTGGTCATGTCAGATGTGGAATAAGTCATAAATGAATAACTTTAGGATCAATATGGTGTTAGATTCTCAGTTAAGGTTTAGGACAGTTAAGCCATTCTGAGTGGTTTGGAATAGTTTAAGTAGGTTTTGATCACCTTGTGTATTCTTCTCTTTACTACAGTCAGGAGTAAATGGTCAAAATGAAATCAAAATAAGTTGTAGAGGCATAGATATTTAAAACAGTTAAGGAATTAATGAAGTCTTATGGTATGCCATAGAACATTCAAGACTTGGAAATTTTCCAAGTTTAACACTTCGGTTATAATAAAGACCTGACAAATTTGTATTCTTCTCACCAACTATTATTAGGTGATCAAATCAGGGTGGTTGAGGTGGCCAGAGCATGTAGCATACTGGTGAGAAATGAACAGTTTGCTGGCCATTTAAGTTTAATTTAACATAAGAAAATTACTTTTTGTTATGAAAGAATAATATGACTTTGTTAATATTATATATTTTAATGTTTTTCAGACAACCTCTGTGGAAGTTGGAAAGTTCATGAATGTGGCTATTTCACCATTTAGTGTATGGACAGTGTTGGCATTGTTAAGAGAGGGTTCTGGCGGAAAAACAAACACTCAGCTTCAGAAGGCACTTCATTTGCATGAGAATAATAAGGCAATTCGTGCAGCATTTCGCAAGCTGAACCATATTGTACATGTGAGTGCTTTGAATGATTTGTTTTGTAATATGGATATCTAGTACATAAGTGACACACTATTGACTTATGGAGAATGATCCATGCCAAAATGTTGTAAGTTCTTAACTCTGTATTGACGTGTTATGCACGATAAAAGTAAAATATTTATCACTGGCATACCAAGGATAGCTAAGGTAGGTTAGTGCTTCTCTTCACTGAAATCTTCATGGGTAATGAGCCATGTCAGTTGGCCATAGAAAACTGATGTTTCAAAAACTTTCTTGGTTCTCATCATTAGGGATCTTATGTTTTATCTTTGAAAACATAAACAAAGGTCAGCAGACTGTTTCCTGTGTGGTAATGAATTTTTGAGTTTGAGTTTGTCAATCCTCTTACCTTCTCGAAGGTATCACCACCTTAATTCTGTGGAGATTTTATTAAATTTAGTTTATCAGGCTGTTTGGATGGGGGATTGGCCATTCTAAAGCTTGTACAGGCATCAGACAAGTAAAAAATTACATGAGTGGGATAGGACTCCGTGAACCCCTTGTGCAGGTGGTCCAAGACCACATTGTTTTGAATTAGGGCATGCAGTGCAATTGTGATAAAGTTTGCTGAGATACAGTTGAACTTATATAGGGAACTAACAGTAAATAAGCATAAAAATTTACCACAAATTACATAAGAATGGACATGAGAAATCACAGATGAATTTCATACATTATGTCATATGTTATAAATAGAGGTAGTGTGTGTGGAAAATAAGTTACTGATGTCCGTGGTGGTATTCTAGATTATGACACTATATAAACTTGTAAGTTGGTACAGCATTTTGGAGGAACATACTGCTATTATCTTCAGGGGTGCCATTAAGATATAAGCAGTATGTTATAATGAAATGGTGGTTTCCATCTACAAGTCCACCGAGCATTACAACCAGAAGAACAGTATAGACAGCATTTATGTTGCTTCTGTCCTTTATTTAATGAAATGACAAACTGGAGTATTGTTTTGACGTAAATACGTCTATATGGAAGGGTCATTCCACAAAAAACTGTTACGAAAAAGTGTAACGAAAAAGTGACAGAAAATTGTGTAAGATTTGTATCAACAAATCGACAACAATGTGTAAATATGGACCGACAACAATGGTCAGCTTGCATGCATAGTTATGTTACCTAGGAAACGTCATCTGTTTACTCGGCATTGTTGTGTTACATTACTGCCGTCAACAATCCGCTTTCGTAACAAGATGGATGACATTGAAGATAACATTACATTACTTTACATTACATTACATTATATTACAGAGACGTAAATATAATTTAAATACAGAGACGTATTTACGTCAAATTCTCCGGAACCACGGTTCCACTGTAACTTTTTTGTTAAGTAAGTGATGCTGACCACTCACCCCCATCTAGTGCCGAGGTCAAGAAAGAGAGGAGCTATACCTCCACTCACCCCAAGCGCCTGTACGGCATGTAGCAGGACAAACTTTACTTTACTTTAATTGATGTTGAAGATAATTTTGCTGATCTTCATTTTTAGAAGCATTGTATGTTTGAATTATTTTCATACATAACTTTCCATGCCATTTATGATGGTTGGCTGGTGCAGGATCTGCAAACCTACTGATAATTAAAAATAGTTGTGTTGATATTCTTCAACTGTGTTGTATGGAAGGCTACTGGAATAGCCATGTAACTCTGGTTCTAGGTTTCAGGCAGTGGTGTTGAAATGATTGGAGCTAATGCTCTCTTTACTGATAACAACCGACCAGTGCAGTGGGAGTTTGAGTACTTGGCAGAGAAAGTTTACAAGTCTGCTGTTCATCCTGTTAATTTTATGAATCCAATTGCCACTGTTAACATCATCAATCGATGGGTGGCAAACATCACTCATAATCGAATCACGCAACTTGTACATGAAGGTCTGTAAATTTAGCAGAATAGAGAATTTTACAATGTTTTATATTTAGCATTTTCCTTATTTATATTCTTTCTTTGGTTCAATTATTTTTCTACAAGCCCTTTTGAAATAATGAATAAGATATGTTTTTTAAATACTTATCTGAACTTCATTCTGCTTTTGTTTTACAGAGGACATGAAAGATCCTCATCTTGTGATTGCTAATGGAAACTTCTTCAAGGGGAAATGGTTGTCGCGATTCAACTCAAGTAACACAGTGAGAGAGAAATTTTATGATGACAGTGGCATGGAACTTGGAGAAGTGGAGATGATGCATCAGCATAGTCACTTCCGTTACAGTCATATCTCTGAGCTTGGGGCAAAAGTGGTGGAACTCCCATATGAAGTAGGTTTCTGTCTTTCTTGTAACCATGAAAGGTCAATCATAGAAAAACAGAAAGAACCTTTAAATGTAGAAATTGTTTTCCCTTTCATAGAGCATCATTATTCACATTTTATAAGAGATGAGAGATTTGTGTATTATAAACACCTTTTGTCATCTTAAAATATGTAACATTCTCATTTGTAATGGAGGTTTATTGGTACACACATGCACACATGCACCACACACATACAAATCAGTTATGGATTTTACTAATTTATCGTTGGTGTTGCTCTTTGTGTGTTGTAACATTTTTCTTCCAGCCTTTGTTTTTTTGTTAGGACTGTTTGAGTTGTTTATGAATAATCATCTAGACCAAGAACTGCACCTTTAACCTGCTGTGACTTTTCTTTGTATAAAATAATGGCCTTTATTTTGTAGAATGATATGTGACAAATGACTGGTTTATTCAATCCAGGGAAGGCAGTTTAGTATGGTCGTGATGGTACCTACAGGCAATACAACCATTAATGAACTACTGATTCGTATTAGCAAAACATCAATGGAAAAGATATATCATCGTATGACAACTGAAGATGAAGAGAACCCTGGTGCCTTTGTGGAGGTCTACCTGCCACGAGTTGTAATCAATTCTGACTTTGTTCTCAATAAGGCACTGGAAATGGTAAGGATTCTAATTCTGTTAAACCAAATACTCTGTTACTTAATACAGTAGTTTGATGAAGAGAAGAACATATATAAACATTTACTTTATCTCCAGAATGTATTTTATACATAAGTTAGACTGGTACTCTGAGGATTAATAACATCTGAATTGTCGTTTACTGCTCTGAAAGGAATTCAAAAACTGCAGACAAGGCTAGTACTAAAGATGTGTGGATTATTATTATGTTATATTGGTGTAATCAAATTCTGTTGGTTGTTACATGGTTATGAATGATGTAATGAAATGAAAATGGTTATTTAATTTTAATATGCTTTCAGGTTTACAGATTGTTTGTATTATGTTGACCTTCTGCAACCAATGTGCACATAAGTGCAAGTTAGCACAGATATGCATGATGTTACAGTTAAAAATTACATTCCATGTAGAATCACATATGTATGTTGTTTGTTAATTTCTGTCAGCTGAAGGTTGTTTACAGTAATGTGCTTACCTGTTTCAAGACAGTGTGTGGAAGTTGCAAGGAGGTTAGTCTGGAAGTAAACATGTGGTAAACAAATGATAAAAAAATAATAATTAAAATATTATCCTATTAAGGTAAATTTTCAATTCATTTAACATCCAGTTATTCACTTCTGAGCTGTTGACAGTATTGCTAAATGAACCGTAGATAAATACATAAAATAAATTTAGTTCTGAAGATGGCTGTCTTCTGATGATGGAGGTAGCAAGCGCCTCTGAAACATCAGTAAACTTCTACATGGCGCTGCTGCAACCCAGAAGGTAGCCATCTTCATACTCGCTACCATGAGAACCTGAAATTGGAATTTGGTTCTGTTACTAATTATTTTATTTGTTAACAGTTGGGGATTATTGATGTTTTCAATGATGCAAAAGCAGACCTGTCTCGGATATCATCACACAGTATACACCTGAACAAGTTGATTCATAAGGCTGAGATTGTGATTAATGAAGAAGGAACAACAGCCAGCAGTGCCACAGGTCAGTAAGCTTTTATACCGGATGATTGTGTTTGATATTGACTTTTAGACTGCTCTGTATGCAGTCAGAATGTCCTATTGCTGATTGTTCTTCCTCCTTTCAGTAAATACTAATAGTACATGTTGAAGGTTTTCCACTACTTCAAATTATGATTTGTCTCCTGGAAGATTAACATATAACTCAGAATAAACTAGACTAGATTCCAGGGTGATAAATACTATACCATGCATTTGAAGGGTTAATCTGTCAAAACTTGTAATATACCACTTCAGGAACAGGGTATATATTTTAAATGATGTTTAATTATTAATTGATATAGACCAGATAAGTTTAGCAAAATAATATCCCTGCTTATTATGTTAAATATTTTGTGTTTTTATAGGGGTTCTAGTATTTCTTAATGTCATTAAGTAGTGATAGTTAGTTTTCCTTGTATCTATTTCCTGAACATTCTTCAAGACAGTTGAATTGATAATACTTATTAAAATATATAAATATTTAAAATAACCGTCAATCACAATAAAATTAAAAGATTAGTCAGTAACCAGCCACCATCCAATGCAGTACGTACACCTCCGATCTCTCCAAATAAGATTACATGATTACTTCTTGGTCCATATACGAACTTCGACATCAATACATAATACGAAAATTAACATATTTGCGACCTGGGATACCACAACAAAATGGTACTACAACGAATGGTGAATCAATATAAAGGACAAAACATCAGAAGAAAAATCATTAAAAATCATTAAAATCGTAAAAAGTAATTCAGTAAAAAAAAAAAAAATATTTTTTTTTTATATATAATACACCAGAAGATGGCTACATTTAGCCGAAACATGTTGTGTAAGTTCCATATGTAAATCGAGTACTCGATAGGGAACATAATATGATATTTTAATCTTTTAATATTTTAATTTTATTGTGATTGACGGTTATTTTTAAATATTTATATATTTTAATACTATTAATTCACAATATGACGCATCTACAATACCATATGATAATACTTATTAAAACACTCTCTTCACTGATAGTTGTTGTGTATACAACACTAATTTTGAAATGAACTGTTTTGTTTCAGGTGAGGTTATGTCAAACCGACAAATAATGCCAACAATTCATGCCAACCGACCATTTGCATTTTTCATAGTAGAAAATTCATTGAAATTGATTGTTTTTGCAGGAAAAGTTGTAAATCCACATATTTAAAAATTTGTAATATATTCATCATAAACAGTGGAATGTGTGGATTTATTAAAGTATTCACTTTACCAAAATATGAAGCCTATGATTGCTTATATTTGTAACAGGCTTGCAGTAGGTGACTTTGAAAATGATTTATCTGTGTATTAAGAACTGCAGGGTCTTTTAGTTATTAGTAAATTATTTACTGGAAACTTGTTAGCAATTGAAATTTGGTAGATTCACACTTCTTATAAAGGACAGATTCAGAAGAAGGTGACATTGTAACTTATATTTTTATTTTACATACAAAGTAATTATAACCACCTTCAAGACTAAACAGCATCACAAATACATTATTACAAAGAAATTAAATTATATTGTACATTTAATGTACAAGAATTGTTTATAACTTACAAATAATTTCATTTCCTGAAAAACTGAACTCAAATATCAGGCATCAGGGCAGTTGTTGGTATAATGTGTAAACAGTTGATTTGCAGTGGAGGAATTCTTGTAGTGTGTACCAAATAAAGAATATGTAAATCTTTTTGTAAAGAAAAGCAGAGAGCAATGCAGTTTTAGGTGGCATTGTTCATGCAGTAACATATGTTTCAGGTAAAAAATATGTTATCAGTACATGTGTTATTGAGATAAATCCTCTTACACAAAGTAGAATTATAATGAGACGCTTTGAACACAAATGAAAGTGACACTTGTCAGTGTAGGTATCAGCAAAAATATCAGTCAATCTGAATCCACTTAGTTTTGAAGTTGGAATATGCAGACAAATGGACATTTGCTCCTCATATAGTGTTTTTTGACTTATTTGCTATAGAATTATTAGATATAGGCATGTTCATTTTTGATATTACTAGTTATTTCCTGTATTATAAATGCTAAAGAGCAAATAGAAAACTAATGACTCTTGTCTGAAAAGAACAAAACTTCAGGAGGCAGTGAGTTAACAAAACACGGAACATTTATTTCATCAAATGTCTCCACCTGTGCCTCTTATACAACTAGATAGTTTAGAGAAAATATACAAATGCACTTTGAAACATTGCAGTGCCATAAATATAACTGCTGAGATTGAATTCATATTTCTATTATTTTCCGAACTTCGGAGTGTTTCAACTGGATTAGTTTTATTACCTTTTAAAGATTTGTATGTGGAGGGTGAGTAATCTGTTTCGTGAGTATGTGCAGTTTTGTGAATACAGAAACACTATTTTAAGCTCTTGTATATACAGTACAAGAAACTAATTAGTTTTCACTAATAATATTTTTGAATTTCTTTAATAAAGTCATATACTGTTTTGTACATTTATGTTATAACTCAGTAACATGTTGTACTTGTATTTAATTTTAAATAAAGTAAGTGGAGCTCAGTCAGTATAGTGACTAGCTACGGGCTGGACGGCCGGGGTTCGATCCCCGACGGGGGCAGAGGATTTTTCCTCTAGCCTCTGCGTCCAGACCGGCTCTGGGGCCCACCCAGCCTCCTCTACAATGGGTACCGGGGTCCTTTCCCGGGGGTAAAGCCGGCCGGGGCGTGATGCTGACCACTCACCCCCATCTAGTGCGGAGGTCAAGGAAGAGAGGAGCTATACCTCCACTCACCCCAAACGCCTACATGGCGTATAGTGGGACAAACTTAAGTGGAAAGTAATAGTCACATTGTAGGGATAAAGGAATCATATATCAGCAGTATGTAAGCGGTTCTGAACAGATTCAGATCCTTAATATATTCTACCTTATAATCCCCCATGCTTTGAAAAGTGTTTATGTAGAAATTACATTGCATGGCTGCAGTGAAATGGGTAGTAGTAATACTAGTAATAACAATAATAATAATGCCTTAGCCTCAGTTGAGACCGCCACTGTGGTCTAGAGGTTAGAACGCTGGCCTTGTAATCCTGGGGTCCCGGGTTTGATTCCCTTGTGTTGGGCAAGGCCGTGGTCTAGGCAACACGGAGTTTTCCTCCGGGGGCTTCTTCCCCGGTTTCTCCGTGGCATCCCAACAATTAATCCATACACACAGAAGAAGGCAATGGCAAACCACTTCTGTATCACCTGCCTAAAAACATATATGAACAGGTCCCAGTCCAAGAAAAGGATGGAAGGATCCTGTTCATAATACGGTGTAATAAAAGAAGATAAAGCCTCAGTTGATGACGTGAGAGATCAAATATTATGAGGAAATTTGAAATGAGTACCTGATATGATTTTGTCAACATGTTTTCTTGGACCTTACAAAGCGATATTTTTTGTCTTTGAAGAATGGGAATAAATTACATGAACTCAGTATAATGGCAACCAGTCACCCACCCTAATAAAATCGTCATGCTACTTCTAGATAAATAGGTTATGGAGTCAGGGCATTGTGTAATGAAAGCACATGTCTGGTGAGCAAAAGTTAATTACAGGGCTTTTGGGTACATTTAGAAAGCTTCTTTTTGATTGAAAATGTTGTCTGGTCAAACCTCTCAGTGATGATCCATGTGTTACCTTTGTGAACACACTTCATATATCGGGTTGGCATGTAGTTCACTGAGCACATGTTTATGAATGTGATGTTTTGTGAGTATTTCTTACTGAAGTCATTAAGAAGGTGAGTTTTGATATGATGTAATTAAAATCTGTACATATGTTCTAATTTCAATGTGAAGATTATGATCATAGATTCAGACAGACAGCATTCAAAATCCAGACATTTAAAAAATCATTGATTCTACGTCTGTATTGTATGAAATCTACAAAAACCAGTGAATTTAATTCCACGGTGCAACTCGATACCCTCTAGTCGCCTTTGCAACATTACACACTGAACTGGCCGAAAGTGACTGTGACCTGCACTGTGCTGTGATTGGCTGGAATAAGGAGCACTCTGCACAGGGTAAGCTTTTGATGTCATCCTAAGCCAAGTCTAAAAATTCTCTGGTTACATTTAATGTACGTACATTTAATGTATGTACATTTACTCTTTGAAACTAAATCTGCTATAAGGGTAGTGCTAAATATAGGAGTGTGTCAAAAGGGTTTTATAATGCTCTGAAATAACACTATTTTCCTATACGCGATACTAGAAAGAGATTCTTTTCGAAAGTCTAGGGCTTTTATTAGCATGGGGATGGGTTGTAGGGGCTCAATATCATGTCGCTCTCGGATTGATCGGTTCTGCATACCAGTCATGAAGCTAAACGAACACTGTGTTAGCAGAACCCGAATTTTTGACCTTGTTCAACTTGATCCCCTTTCTTCATTCGTTTTCTGGCGCGCAGCTTACTCATCGCCCTGATGATGGAGGTAGAAAGCACTTGTGAAACATCGGTCAGTTTCTAAGAGCTACACGGCTGAACATCGCAGGTTACAGACATCTTCGATCCCAATTCATTTCCAACAGCAACCCGTTCTCCCACTCTACTTCCCTGCGATCCATCCTCGTACATCTTTCTTCTTCGTTCAAGTGAGGGTTTCCCAAAAGATTTCCCACCCTGACCACATTTCCAGTCAACCGAATCTTTCTAAATTTTACTGTTCTATTAAACCTCGGGTGACTTATAGGCGTATAATTCACAGAGTTTCTCACAGCAAGAGTATGAAGATTTCTGTCTTCTGGGTTGTTGCGCTGTGTAGTCTGGTCAATGTTTACCAACGTTTCGGAGGTCATACTGCCTCCGTCATCAGGGCGATTCTTAGTATGAAGACTTCTGTTTTCTGGGTTGTTGCGCTGTGTAGTCTGGTCGATGTTTACCAACGTTTCAGAGGTCAAACTGCCTCCGTCATCAGCGCAAAAACCTAGAAGAAAGTAATCTTCTTATTAAATATTAATTTTTTCGTTATTTTGCTATTCTCTCCGGGACTCATACTAGGATAGTAGTTTAAAATAAGTGACTATCGAATTTTTCCGACGACCGGAACAGCTCGCCTGCTTCTTTGTGAACAACACGTATACGTCGTGTATTTGAAAGCATATTATATCGAGTCACTGTGTGATAATATAAAAGCAAACATTTGAAGACCGCTATCTCTGTCTTGTTACAGAGAGTTTGAAACAATTAAAGTACGCTATAAATAAACTACCAGAAACAATTATATTCTTCGGTTGAATTCTTTTCTTCCATTTTCTTCTTCAGACTCGATCTAGAGGCAAACCAATTAGTTAAAGTTGCAATTGGTTTATCAGAGAATACATGGAGACTAAGCTCTGAATTTAACTTGTTCGGTCACTTACGTACAGGCCACAGCGGAATTGCTCCACAGTGTGGATCAATATTTGGTACCAGCAGCGTTTAGATAAAAGTGTAGTCTACTAATACCGATACGAAGTTTCCAAAAGGACTGGAATGCTTAGAAAATCGTAGTCATGAATTCTGAAGAGAAGAGGCCACTGTGGAGACCTGGGCATAGATGAGAGGATAATATTAAAGCTCATATTAAGTAAATAGAACGTCAGGGTCTTGTGAACATGATTGACCCGCGGATTCCATAAATTGCGAAATTTCTTAACCGGCTGAGCGACTATCAGTTCCTTAAAGAGTACCGTGTTCCATAGAGATAGGCCTACTTATCATTTGGCTATTACAAGGAGAAAAGACTCACATTATGATTTGTTTTTTTTAGGAATTTGGTACAGAAAACAGGCTTACGCTTTATGAAGTACATAAAATTAAAATCCCAAGGCAAACGTCTGACCTCCGAAATAGTGGACATTTGTGCACAGCTGTTATGAAATCGTGTTTACGCTCTCTTTCTACACGTTGAAGGTGGATTTTCCATGAGCCATTTATGCTGTACGTATAGAATAAATTAGAACAGACAAAAACAATTTTAATTCATTTAAAAAGTGATGCTGTTGGCGCATAAGAATATGGCGGATGTAACCAATAAGAACTTTATCTCATTTCTTCAGTGTCTTTACAGTATGGGTTGTAACATTCAACGTTTAACATGTTGACTGCATCGGAAGAATGCACAAAAGAGGAACAACGATTACTGGTCAGATTTTGTGGTCAGTAGGTGTGAAAACTAGTGAAATATACGGAAGAACGTCATTTCAAAGTCGCTATAATTAAATGGCTTAGAGGCAAGTTTATGAATCTGTGTAAAGATTCAAATGAGGACGGTCATTTTTTGTTGATGGTGGGCGTCCTAGAGGCCATTAATTTTAACATGTGTTAAGGTGAAGAAGAGATCGGGGACAACAAGAACTGTTTGTTATGAAATTACGTTTGAAATGATCGTAATTTGTACAGGCCTAATAGCTATTTATGAGTACAGAATCAGGGAAGTTGTGCGCCATGTGTCTAACAGCTGTGACAGCTTCGTCAAAATTTCTAGTGATTCATATATACAGGTTAGAGTACGTTTTGAGGAAGTCGCTGAGTGTAGTAATGCTATCTACACAACAGCTTAACTTGTGTGAAAGAGAAAACCTTTGGTGCGTTTCTTCTGTGTACCATCCGAGTCCGTTTGTGTATCGAGCAATGCTCTCGTATAAAGAGTCCACTTGAAGTGAGTAAGCATTCCTTATCTCTTGAAATCCTCTTGATGATGTACTGGCATCACGTGACATGTGAAATTATACGAACTCTTAACACTGTTATCACTTATGAAACATACAAATTCCTCCGACGTGCAGTAAATCAGGCAATGGGGTATCGAATAAAACGTGAGATGCATCTATGTAAGAAAATGCTTTCGTTCTCTCTGCTTTCCAAAACGCTGAAGATCGGGATATGACAGGAATAATTCTGACACTTGTTTTGTACACATTTAGTCTGAGTGTTTCAGAGTCACTTTTCTTCCCATATCATATCTAAAACGGCAAACATTAAAATGGGCGATACAGAACTGTGATCTTTGATTTTATTTAAAGTGAGTATAAAACTTGATAGCTCAAAAGTGGAAAACTATAAATTGATGGTGTTGAAAACCGGATGCTGAGTAGAATATTTAAATGTATGAGTTTGGTGGTAGCAGGAAGGACAAAATTACACGATGAGAAGCTTCGTATCATGTAGTCGTCCTTTTATGCTTTAGCGTAAGCGAAGAAAAACTTATGGGCTCCTCCATATCTGCCGCGTCTTGTATGACCTTCTATTAGGGTCATAATTTCAAGTAGGATGAGCTGGACGGGACATAAGGCACCCATGGGATAGCTGAGAAATCCTTGATATTCCACTGGTTTCAACACTTCACTATAATTCTTATTTGGAAAACCTGAAGTGAAGAGACCACTTGAGAGCCCTAGGCTAAATACAATATAAGGGTAGAATCATCAAGGAGCAGAATGTGAGGGCGTTGATTGGATTCAGCTGGCTCAAAATAAGACCACGAACATGACAATGAGCTTTCGAGTTCCATAAAAGGCGAGGAGTTTCTTGAT